GCACCAGGGCCTGCTAGGACATCCTTCCACTTTCAGCTTGCTGTTTCCAAGCGTCCTGCCTCTCTCCTCCATTCCTTCCCATGTGGGACACACGCGCCATTCACCCCAGCGCTTCTGCAGCTGCACGGGATTGTCGCATCTGCCCTGCCCACCGGGAGCTGGCCAGCACTCACTGCTAGTGGTGATAACTGCACCAAAGGGAAAAGGGCTTACGGCTGAGAGAACTGTTACTGGGTTCTTGTTCTGTTTGTTGTTAATTTCACAGTTGTTGTTGTTTTGTTTGCCTGTTATATATACTAGTTATTCTAGCTCTTCCTATCCCCACATCCTAGCTGTTTTTCCTATCCCCATATATATCCCCAAAGGCCTTAGAGCAAGGAACCACTTCGTCACTAAAAACCAGGAAACGAACTCTCCAACCAGTTTATTATGTTAGAAAGCTGATATTTTTTCAACATATTGGGTGCACGTGGATAGCTTCTGTTGGGGGTTGGTTCTTTTTTCCCTTTTTTTTCTCTGTGGAATTTTCCCCATTGTCATGCTAAGAAATCCCTTGGCTAGGCCCTAGCACAGTTGGCTAGTGACGGAAGGAGGGGAGAGACTCTCTGTCCCTATTTTTTTTTTTTTCAGTTTCTCTTGCAGGGCGGGGAGGGAACGGGAGGGGAGGGGAAGAGGGAGAACACCGCGAGATCAGGGGGCAGGTAAAAAAGAAGTGTGGGCAGTTGCTCGCTCTTTTTTTTTTTACCCGTGGAGTCGGAGGAGGACAACCGCAGCTGCCGCCCACCATCTTTGCGATCCCAACGCCGGGAGCGGCCTTCCTCGGCTGTGGGACCCCACCACCCCCTGCTCGGACGCCCTCCCCCTTCAGCCTGGCATCTCCAAGCATCCTATTGGAGCACTGGGAGCGAGAGTGCCCCAGGGATCTGTAAGCAGCGCCTCTCTCCTCCACCCTTCCCATCCGGGACGCAGCCGCCATCACTCCCAGCGCCCCAGCCACGTGGGATCATCGTATCTCCCCCTGATAACTGGGAACTGGCTGGCGCTGCATGCCAGCTGTGACGGTAACTGCACCACGGGGGAAAGGTGTAAAGGTGTCCATAACCAAAATAACTGTTACTGGGTTCGGGTTCTGTTTGTTGTCAGTTTCGTAGCTGTAGCTGTTGTTTTGTTTGCCTTGTTTTATATATACGTATGTGATAAATGTGATTCGTGCTAATTAAAATGTAACTATATTAACAAAATTGTATTTAGATCAATAAAAGACTATTGTTACCGAGTGAAAGGGGGGGAGATGGGTGAGACAGGATAAAAGACATCTTCCAGATGTTGGGAGTCGAAGAAGGAGGTTAGAAGAAAGTCAGATAAGAATAGTAGAAGGACGTAGGTCTGATAAGCGGCATCTAGAAATAGAGCTTCAACCTTGAAGCTGTCAAAAATGGAATGATTCCAAGCATGGGACATGTTATGGAAAACATCTGCTCAGTCACACAGGGCGCCTGCGCTACCTGCAGGTCACACCTCGGTCACCGATGAAGATGATGAGCCTTCACCGGAAATAAGACCCTCAAAAGGATAAGAGACCCCCTAACCCATTAGTAGAGCATGCACCGTGCAGTATAGTTACGTAGATTTTAGGAATAGAAACTAGGAGGAGCTTTCTAGAAACTTTTGTAGCCTATAGTATATAAGTGGGATTGTTAGCCCAAATGCTTGGGTACGAGAGGAAGGGCAGGCCCCTCCCCGTACCCCCGGTCGGTTTTGCTTATGCTTTATACGAACCTCAATTATACTAAAACACTTACTCTCAAATCTTATCCATCCCAAATTATACAATTGTAATACTTTACTTGGATGGGATTTAGTTTCAATAATTTTTGTAATCATCGTTAGTACTTCTGATTGTATTCATTTATAATTGCTACTATTAAAAATTTGTTGTTACTTTTAATCTTTGTTGTTTGTTTAATTGGAAAAATAGAAAACCATTCCTAACACGTATATATGTATATATATATATCAATAAAGAACTGTTATTCCTGAGAGGAATGTTGAATTTCTCTTTACAAATGAGCTGTGGATCAGCCTGTAGATAAGGTTAAGCACTGAGAGATAAAAGAAACAATGGGATGGATTCCACTGATTGATGAATGGAAAGAGATAGTTGCCTTTACAAACAAACTGTAGGGCTGCTGATAAATGAAATTGGATATCGAAAGATGAAAGAAGCAACGGGGGGAAAACTATGAATTAAAAATTAAAAGGGAGGGTTATACATTAGAGGGGAGTTTCAGGTATCAGGCGTTCCGGGAAGTCTGTGCCTCTCAAGTACCTCAGCCAATGGGGAAAGAGAGAGGGAAATGCGGCCGGGAAAATAGGATGAAAAGGAGGCTGCGTCCTCCAAAAATTTGAGAGATCCCAGGGGAATGTCTCATGGCCTCTCCATTTATTCGAATAAAGCAAAAAGGACTCCTCTGTCTCCTTTTTGGACATAAACCTCTGGTGTTTGTGGATTAATTTTCCTGACATTCCTACCCCCATATCTTTGCCTGACAGCCCCTTTATTTCAAAATTATAATAAATTGGAGAGAGGGTTTTACATTCTCCATTTCAAAGAGAGGCTCCTAGTTTTCTTAGCAAATACCTGTCTTTCAAACCAGGACAGGTTCACCTAATACGCACATCCAGTTTGAAAACTTTTCACTATTTATACACTGTAGGAAATAAAGAAATTAATGTTCATTGGCTCCATAAGTTCCATAATTCTCTCAATTAATTAATATTCTATCTCCTATTTGCTTGTTTTCTCACTTCTTATGCTAATTAGCCTAGTTCTTCAGTCTTTTTATTATCTTTTTCCCAAACAGAAAAGGTGAACTGGCTTTGTTAGTTTCTTCTTTATCTTGAGTTCCTGCAAAATGTCCTCGGGGTTCATGAATTTTGCATTACTTTTGTCCAATTTCAACAACAGATCTCTCTCCAAGGCCTTGTTAACATCCTTTTAGGTTTGAGATAATTGAAACATATTAGAGTGTTGATTACACTTGTTTTAGAAAAACTTAGTTTTAATAATTTTCTTAAACTATCTTCCCACAATACCAGTTATGACAACCTTGCTAAATGCTGGCTACAGTGGCATATGACAGAGTGGAAAATTAGAAATTAGTTTTAATTAGAAAATTAAAACTGCTTCAGAATAATTAGAAACAATTAATTAGAAGATAATTAATTAGAAGAATTAATTAGAAAAATTATGAGGAAAATTATATATTTCCCACAGTTAGCACAAGGCTTATTTGTCACACATATTGAGAGTTAACACAAAGCTGCATTTATCCCTGATATTTGTAGTAAGCACTGTATGATACAAAACAAAGCATTAATCCTAGATAGGGATCAAATACTATTGTGCTAAGGTTAAAAGAATTTCCTCCCACTGCTGCATAAATTCCATTTAAAAGAAAATAACTTGTTGTGTAACATTTTAACTACAAGTCTTGTGACTGTCCACAAAAGTATGTTTTATATACTATCCTCACATACTTCAAATACAAATATTAGATACTACATAGGAGTATCTAAAGTTTCTGGCTGAAGCATAGAGGCTATGAAATACTGCTTCCTAAAAAGCATAATTGGATTTTATATACTATGGTTATTTGGGGAGAGGAAGAGACAGAACCTAAAGGAGCAGAATCACATAATATGTAGAGACCCACCACGATCATCGAGTCTAGTTCCTGTCCTGCACAGGACACCCCAAGAATCACAACAACGGCCTGAGAGCATTGCCCAAACACTTCTTGAAGCCACCAGGCTTGGTGATGTTATAAATGAGAGACAAAAGTCTCGATATTCAGCAAAATTTAGATTGCTTTATTTGATACAGAAAGAGCAAGCAGTGGGCTGGGGAATGTGAGGGGTCACCGCCCACTCCACTCTCCACCAAACCTTGGTTTGCTGCCTCTTCTTATACTATAGTTTCTCGTTGTAATCAATAATTTTTGGGTTTTTGTTGTCATAATTTTGCCAGGTAAGCAGTGGTGGTCAAATAAACATCCTTACACCAATTCACAAAGCCTTTGGGTGATACCAGTCACAGATAGCCATCTGGTCCTTGTAAATAACCACCAGAGAAATTCTGGAAGTCTGGTCCTTGAGATAGGCAGCATTGATCAGACAAAGGCAGAAAAGGCTATTGGGAAGTCTGATTTTGCAAGCTGGTAGCCGATACCACTTATTTGGAAAACATAATATACCATAACAAGGTGATTTTAAACAGAATTATTATATTATATAATTTCCTTTATCTAGTGTCCATGCTTCACTTCAGAGCTTAGTATTATACAAACCCCAATACTTTTGTGATTAACGAATCTTTTATCAATTATCACAGTGATGTGACCACTTCCCTGTGGAGTCTGTTCCAGTAACCAACCACCCTGCGAGTCAAAAACTTTTTCCTTATATCCAACCTAAACTTCCCCTGACTTAAGTACATGCCATTTAGTGTCCTGCCACTGGGCACCACAGTTAAGGTAAGTGCCTGCCCCTCCTCTTCCCTTATGAAGAAACTGTAACTGCAATGAGGTCTCCCTCCAGTCTCCTCTTATCGAGGCTGAACAGACCTCAGCCACTCCTCACACGGCTTCCTCTCCAGACCCTTCATCATCCTTGTGGCCCTCCTTTGAATGTTCTCTAATAGCTGAATAACTGTCTTATATTGCGGTGCGCAAAACTGCCCCCAACACTCGAGGGGAGGCTGCACAAGTGCAATGTAAACTTGCAAGTTTACATGAATAAAACCGAAAGGGAAACACGAGAGTGCTGCTATTCCGCAAAAGTTTACAACAGGCTGTTTCGCAAGAACCCTTCCTCAAGAAACAAAGTTTGGGAAAGGAAACGGAAATGTCCTTCTCCCATCAGGGAGTGTCCCAGGCCTGTCCAGCGCGCTGAGGCGGCTCCCGGCGTGCCGCGCGCGGGTGCGGCCATGTTGTGGAGCCATGTTCCACAGCAGCACGCAGCGCCGGCACTGGACCTTCCGCGGCGAGGAGGAGCTGGCGCGGCGCCGCGCTGAGGGGAACCGCTGGGCCCGGGCCAGGGCGGCGGCCAGCGGGAAGGTGCGCGGGGCCGCAGGGGTTGCGGGGCGGAGCGGGGCGGCAGGGTGCTACCGCGGCGGACTCAGGCGCGGCTTTGCTTCTCCCAAGGTGCCGCAGGGCGACCTGGTGCTGCTGGAGCCGCACGAGGAGCTGGCACTATGCAAGTACTACGAGAAGAGGCTGCTAGACTTCTGCGCCGCGTTCAAGCCCGCGATGCCGCGGTCCGTGGTGGTAAGCGAGGGGAGGACAGAGCTGCAGCCTCCGCCCCCCTTATCCCTTAGCTTACTGCCTGCTTGGATTGTTCTTGAGAGCGCGGATGTCTTTAAAGCCTCTTTTCTCTCTTCTAGCACTATAGACTGTGGCCACTTCATATCTTTTTTTGTTTCTTTTTTTGACGTGTACAGCCATTTCAAAACCAGATGTCTTTCAAGGGGATCTTTTCCCCTGTGGCTCATAAACTTGCTTGGGTTACTGAATTGTTTTGTTTTCCTTTAGCAAAGAGTAGAAACAAAATAGTCGTAGATTTTTGGTGATACAATGAAACAATCTCCCAGTAGTTAAAGGAGACGGTCCCAAATTTGGGCTGTCATTCAGATGTTTCTCCAGCATTAATGCTTCTCTGACCACAAAATAATGTACTTGCATTATATTAGATCATGTATTGGCAAAATATTAACCTACAAAGGACGAACAGAATTACCTTGAACTTACTTGAATGCAGAAGAGGATATTTCAGAAGGGAGAAGTGAAGACTTAGTGCTGAAGAACGGAGTGAAATTGTGCCTCTCTCATTAAACCATTAAGATGTATGATTTACACTGTCCCCTGTTAGTCCTCCGTTTTTCACGCAGGTATGGTGAAGGGTGCCATGCTTGAGGATGCCTTTGAAAGATGGCAGTCAGTGCCATGGCATATTCTGTGAAGCCAGACTGATGTTTGAGAAGTAGCCCCTGCAGCGTCTCATTTTGGAAAGCATTGGCTTTCATGCTGATAAACATGCTGCAGAATTTAGTGATGTAAAATGTCAAATGGTTAGGATTGCTCACAGCTTTCAGGATGGTTTTTTTTCAGCCTTTGATTTTTAAATTTCATTTTAATACTTTTTTTCATAAAGATACTGCTGGCTTTTTAAGCATTGTCTTCCAAAACATGCCTAAAAATAAAAAAATTATTTGGTATGACAATCGTAGTGTAAGGTTCTTGCAGGCAAAAATAAAGACTTTGAAATATTTAATGACATAAAAAGGCTATATGTGTCTTAGTGCCTCAGTGTATCATATGTGCTTGTAGTATATATCTAAACTTGCCTGGTTTTTGTGTTTTTTTCTTTTTATGTACTTACTTATTTTTTCTTAATCCATTTTTATTTTTTCCCTCCCCATTTTTTTCGATTTAGGGAACAGCTTGCATGTATTTCAAACGTTTTTACCTCAATAACTCAGTGATGGAGTATCATCCTCGGATAATAATGTGAGTTATCAACACTTCTTGAGTTACTCAATCAAATAGAATATTAGAAGTATGATCTTTATATTTATAAAGACTGAAAAAAAACCAAGAGAGAAAATCTGATAGCTTAAGTAGGAGTAAAGACAAAAATATGGTCAGTTTCACTATCCTTTTGCTGTGTTCAGAACATGGTGTTTTAAATATACACAAATTTTCTGAGCAGAACTCTTACAGGAGAATGGATGCTGCATATGTCAATTGTTTGCTTTTTTGTTTTTTTCTTTCCTCAAGGCTAACATGTGCATTTTTGGCCTGTAAAGTAGATGAATTTAATGTATCCAGTGCACAGTTTGTTGGTAACCTTCGAGAAAGTCCTCTTGGACAGGAAAAAGCTCTTGAACAAATACTGGAATATGAACTGCTACTTATTCAGCAACTGAACTTCCATCTCATCATCCACAATCCCTACAGGCCATTTGAGGGATTTCTAATTGATATTAAGGTAATACTCTCTGATACGCTATGTGCTCTGTGTAATAAATATAAGTCTGTCATGCATTGTCTTAAAAAAATTTACTTCCTTTTGTGCCTGTGAGTTAAAAGATCTAATTTCTACAGTGATAGACAAGTACCTGAAAGATGGTTGTTTTACTTGTGGTCTTTAAGGTCTTTAAGTTGTTTAGGATATTTTTGGAATAAAAATATGGTCTGCTACTTTTTAGCTTTATAAAATACTGTTGAATTGTGTATTCTGAGCTCATGAACAGGAATGATGAACAGCTGCTTATTTTCCTAAATCATTACTTTTTAGACTCGCTATCCAGTGCTGGAAAATCCTGAAGTTTTGAGAAAAACAGCTGATGACTTCCTTAACCGAGTGGCTCTGACAGATGCATATCTGCTCTTTACACCCTCACAGATCGCTCTCACTGCCATATTATCTAGTGGCTCAAGAGCAGGAATTAATATGGAAAGGTAGTATTTTCTTTCTTTTATGTGGGATTTAAGCAGTTTATTTGCTTCATGTATAAAATTGCTTTGCTGTAGACATTCTTAATTACTAGAATTGTGTATTTACTGATTGATAGCACTTGTCAGTTCTTTATGTTTTAGAATGGCAGTGGTACTGTTCATTTTCACAAATAGGTGATGAAAGCAGTAGATTGCTGTCTGGTATTTATAGTCCTCTGAAAGAAGTTAAAAAAAGCCCCTGATTACTTTGCCTTAATTAGAACAGCATAGGATTTTCAGACTCAGTTTAAGGGTTACATAGGGAAGAAAGTGAAAATATGGTGGAAACTGAGAGTCAACTGAAATTACACTGAACTAACAGCTAATGGGCATACTGTAACATGCTGTGTTTGGATGCTGCAGCTGTTCAGTTTCCATGGATATGAACCAGGGCTAAGGTGTGCTTCAAATCAGTCTTTTCCTTCTGTGACCTTGTCACTGGTGTTTTCACAGGTATTATCAAACACTTTGATACCTTTGCTGAAATGTATAGTTTGTTTGGTTTAGTTCTCTTGTGGACAAAATATACGCTTTTCTTCAGATGAACAGCTGAGGTGGTTGCTGTAAGGAACTGTACCTGGCATGTTATAATACCATGCTAGTACCTGTGAGCATTTTGTATCTGGAGTTTTAACACCTGCTCTAAATCCAAAAAGTTCTATTAAAATAAAATCACTAATCTGTTCTAAATCTCTCTAGTTCTAAAAGAAGGAGTGTTGGGAGTATTCTCTACAGGATTCACTGTCTTCTAAGAATTGTGTAAAAACATTTAGGTGCTTACTTTAACTTGAAACTTGATCTCATTCCTAGACCTGTATTCTGTACTGCTTGTGCTAAAATTCAGAAAATCATGCTTGCAAAAATAATTAAAATAATTTGTAGATGTGATTCAACGTGTCTAAACTTTGTGTGCACATTCAGGAAGAATTCAAGTCTTTATTACCTGTCTGCACCATACAGTTGTTATAACCTTGTTTGATGTGAGTTTTTGCTGCTGGACATGAAAGAAGCTGATGGTGCAGCTGATGGTCTGTGATCAGGTGCAGCTACAGAGGCGGTACAGAACACGTGGGAATTGGAAAACCTGTTGCTGTCATGGGGGAAGGGCTAGAACTTCTTGGTTGTTGTGGATATTGGTGAGGAGGATTGCTCATGTCTTTATCTAGGCAATGTGCATTAGTGTTATTACTAAAGAGAAATTTAATCTCATTGGGAAGAGGAAGGGACCCATTAGTTCATGCAAGACACCATTTAGTAATAGCTTTCAGCTGCCAGAAGCAGCAGGCCTGCCTTGCAAGCTCTGCTGTTGGTCAGTCTGAAAACCACTGTAGTATTTGTTTGTCCTGTGGGCATATTGTTCAAGAGTGTGATGTTGTAGAATCTTAAACTTAATTTGACTTAGCTCCCTGAGGCTTAGAAATGTCTAATTTGGCAGTGTTATTTCAATGTGGCTGGGGGAATATTTTTGTCACCTTTTTACAGTGACAGATTTGCTTTTTTATCACTTTATAGCACTTACACAAAAAGCTTAAAGAGTTCTTACTTAGCTAATTATAAAGCTCTAGGAGATGTTCATAATAAATAATACACTTTTTATTAACTCACAGTAATTGCCACAAATGATTATGACACTTTAAAAATTTATTTTTCCATGTCTCTTTGCAGCTATTTATCAGAAAGTCTTATGCTGAAAGAAAACAGATTGACCTTATCCAGATTGCTAGATGACATGAAATGTAAGTAAATATTGGAAAAGTATGATAAAGAATATCTCAAAAGGAGGAAAAACCATCTTTTTCCAAATTACAAAAGCTTTAAATAAAAAGGTGTGCTTCAAATGCTTCTCTTCACCTTAAGGCATGCATAAGTAAAGTGCATACAGTAGAATGAAGTACTCAGCATGTGGCTGGAAAGGGAAAAAAGACTGAAACAAAATGAACAAATAAATTAAACAAATTAAATTATTTGTTTCATATTAACAGGCAGAGGACCTGCCTGATGCTTTCAGTACTTACGTGCTGGAGTCAGTTAAGTGCTAGCCACTTTTGAATTCAAAAGTGAGAAATCTCGTTTGAGAACTAGATAAAGGTTTCTGTACGACAGAACTAAATCGCTTTTTAAGTCACTGTATCTTAAACATTATACCTTCAGGCAAAGCCTGCATATAACAACTGAAAGGTACCTTTTGTAAGCTAAATGATTAATGTGATAGGCCAGTATTTATACTGCACAGTTATTTTGCTGCTATGTTTCAGAAGATGCTTAGCTTCACTAGTGTGAGAAATATACCTCTGTGTGTATATAGTTTACAAATATTAAGAATACCACCATGTTTAGCTAAGCTAAAAGGGAGTGTAGTACACTGTTACCTTTTTGTATTTAAATGAAAAGGCTGTGGTATGAAATTCCCATTAAGTATCAGTTATTGAATGTGTTAAGCTAATGCATGCGCTTCAAATGGGAGTGGTGGCAGTGAAACTGGGCTGGCTGACATGAGCAGTGAATGCACCATACAAGTAACCAGGGTCTACAAATTCAATTTAGCTTAAATTTATAGAACTTAAGATGTTTAATTTCTGGTCTTCTAACAAATCGAGTCTTCAGACTTCCATTACTAAGATGGAAGGGAATGCTGGGATCACTTACTCTTCATTTCAGTTTTGTAGATGGTAACTTTAGCCCAAAGGCAGCTCTTCTGTAAATCTAACACGGTTGGAAGGAAATTTTGAAAGCATTTGTAAATGACTTCTAGAGAGTACTGGTGGCAGAGAAAAAACTTGTAAATTTAATTTGCAGTATTAAAAAGACTGGAACTGATTATTTTTTTTTAGGACAGCAGGTACAGTGTTGATTGCAAAAAATACCTGTGTATTTTGAAGCTTGTTAGCAGAATAATGTGAACTCTGCCTTAAGGAAATTTAGAGTCAGTGCCGTTGGAGACTTTTTTCACTGTAGTTACAATGAGGGAAAGAAGGATGAACTGTTGGTTTAAGCGTGACTGTGAGACTTATACAATACTCAGCCACATTGGAGACTGGATAGGGTTGTGTGATTCACAAGTGCACCATGATTCACAAGATTCACCATGCAGATGCCAAGTAACCACCAGAGCCATCCTTATCACTGACGTCCCTAGCTAGGCAGGGCAGAGAAAATAACAAGTTTATGGGCTAAGACAAGGGCAGGGAGAGGTCACTCACCAGTCACTGTCATGAGCAAAACAGACACAACTGGGGGAAATTAATTAATCACCAATCAAATTAGAGTAGGGTAAGGAGAAGTGAAATCCAAATCTTAAAAAGACCTTTCCCCCACCCCTCCCGTCTTTCTGGATTCACTTTCACTCCCTCCAGTGCAGGGGGACTGTAGTCAGCTTACCATATATTTGTGTTGCTCCTTCCTCCTCAAATTATTCCCCTGCTGCAGTGTGGGATCCCTCCCACAGAGACTGTCCTCTACAAATTTTTACGTGAGTCCTTCCCACATGCTACAGTTCTTCATGAACTGCTTTAGTGTGGTTCCATTACACAGGATGCAGCCCTTCAGGAACAGGCTGCTTCAGTGCAGATCTGCCATGGGGTCACAAATCTTGCCAGCAAACTTTCTGTAGTGTAGGTTCCTCTTTCCTACGTGGTATGGTACATAGCATGTAATTCCCAAGGGTCACTGCTTCCTTTGGGCACATCCACCTGCTCCAAAGTCACCTCCTCTACAGGCTGCCGCCAGCATTTGCATTTTTTTTTTTTTCAAATCTGTTATCACAAACGCACATTCACTGTCACTTAATAGGCCTGGCCTTGGCCAGTGGTGGATACATCTTGGAGCTGTCTTACATTGCCTCTGTTGTGCCTGGGGGAGTCTCTAGCAGCTTCTCACAGAAGCCACCCCTGTAGGCCCCCCACTACCAACATCTTGCCATGCAGACCCAACACCAGAAGGCAAAGCAGAAATTCTCTGTATGCTTACAGCTGTCTTGTTGATATTTTAGGCATGAAGAATCTCATTAGAAAATATGAACTGCCAAGGCCTGAAGAGGTCATTGCTCTAAAACAGAAGTTAGAGAAGTGTCACAGCTTGGACCTTTCATGTAATGCAAACCCGTAAGTATATCTTGGATGTGTGAAACTTCATCCTTTTTTACTGACATAAGAACGTTAATATTTTTTTACCTGTGTGAGTGATAGAAAATGAAAACCCTTAAATGTTCAATGTTTATCTGCTTGCTGTATCTTCTGAAGCTGAGACTGAAGTACTCCTTTCAGTAATACATAAATACGTACTTTTGTGCTGATTTGCATGGCAAGCTGATTATTTTGTAACACAAAACTGGAATACAAGGTGGCTTCTAAGGTGTGGCCACTTGATGTTGTATGTAATGAGAACTAAGTGCTTTAAAATCAGGTGATTAAAACAAGAATGTTGTAAAGGCTTAATGTTTTCTTAAAAATTATGTAGATGTGCAAAGGGTTTCCTGATTTTTCTATTCTGCCCATTTCATTTCAATATGCACCCTGAACTTCCAGCAGGCTGCATGCCGAGGCTTTGCTAGTTCTTTTATGGAACAGGTACGTCCCTAATGTAATCCTGGGGTCAAATAAAGAGAGTCTTAGCTTATAAAAATACCTAAGCATTTCACTCTTCTCTGTGTTAGGAAGAAGAGGAAAGGTTATGAAGATGAGGAATATGTCACAAAGAAATGTAAAATGGATGAGGTCAGTAAACCTATTGTACAGGTTTTGCTTGGTTTTTTTCACTCTAATGCCATGAAAGAAGTGACACAGCTACTAAGATAAATTTACACATCTGTAATATAATTCTACTTGTTGCTCAGACAGAAACTTTTTCAACTTTTTTTTTTTCACTTTAAATGAGCCAGATTTCATACTTGGCTGTACTTGGAAGTGTTTTTGAATACCCCTGTCTTTTGCGAAGAGGGGAATGAATATGCAGACCATGCTTCCTGCTGTTTCTTGTGCTTTGGAAGTTTTTATTTATTTTATTTCTTGCTCAAAACAGTGTGGAGTGTTGGACTAAATTTATGTCAGAAAATTTGTTAACAAGGCCGCATGAATTACAGACGGGCAGCTAGTACTTTGCATTTTAAGACCACGTATAAATAAGGTGGAGATAAACTGACAAGGATGACTCAAAAAATAAAAGCAATATTAAGGTTGTCCTTCACATCTGAGATTAACACCTTCCAGAGCTTTTGTTTGTAAGTGGACAGTAAATGGGAGAGAGTCCATGCTGGCGGAGGTGAAGAACATTTTTTAACTGGACTGATCTTGATACAAAAGACACTGGACACTGCTAGTCTAAGACACAATAAGTATGGCATTTAGAAGAATGTGTTAACATTTGAAGAGGGTCACCTGTCAAAATCTGAAGATAAAAGACAAGATTTGTGTCATTTGCTATTAGAGGTTATTATAGTAGGTTGATGCTACAGTGTCAAATTAGAATCTAAAAAAATATTTAAACAAGATTATAATAAAATCAGCATTCAAACTATGTTCTAACAATACGAGGGACCTTGAACTTAACTTTATATTTTATTGCTGCAAAAACTTTTGATTAGTTCTTATCCAAATGCCAGTCTTCAAATGAAACAGGCAACTATAAAAGAGGCACTTGGAAAACTTTTCACTTGTTGTGTAATTTTACTTCTAAGTCATCATCACATGAAAAACAGATCTGAGCTGCCTAGGAGATAAAGGAGAAAGTGTGCTTAACTTTTTGAAAGCTTCCAGAGTGTGCAAACGTGGCTTCATTAATCCTATATTTATCTGATATTAGACTGTAGTCTACAAGTCCACAGTCAATTCTGATCTAAGATGTTTCTGGATTTAACTGTTTGCAGCGAAGGTTAGTATCAGTAGAAAGCCAGAAATGGTATGGTGGGCTCATCAGTTTGAAATTATAAAAAACACATACAAGGTAATGGCTGAGCACAGGTGTGACTCAGCTGCCAGGGTGACAAAGCCACGAAAGGCACAAGACAGTAGTAGAAGGTGCAGTACGAGCTGTTTTGGAAATCTCTATGTAGTTATCCAACATAAAGCTCATGCTTCTTTATCTAAGGTGCTGAAAAGGGACTGCTAAGATGACTCTGTGCCCGTGACTGTAAGCATAGATATGGATAACTAGCTTTAAAGTTAAAGGCCTAACTTGTTGCAAGTTAAAATATTTTTTTAGTCTTCTCTTCATGGAGTCTCTCTGTAACTTCTTAAATCCAGACCGTAAAGAGCGCACTACCACACACAGATGTCACTCAAGGTGTTGTGTTTTTCCATTCCATTAGGAAGAGTGGACTGATGATGATCTTGTGGATTCAGCATTACTTTGAAGGAAGATGAACTCCTACCATTGCAGGAACTACTCTCTGGTGTCAGTTGTGACTCTACCTGCCACAGGTTCCTTATTATGTGTCATGAGATCTTGATGCTGTTAGTTCTCACCTTGGCTGTAAAGCCTTTTACTCTCATAAAAGAGTAAGCTGTGGTTCTATTAAACCCATATCCATTACAGGTCCAACACTATCAAGATTTGCTTCAAGAAATCTGGCCCTCGTTTTTAGTTCAGAAACAGTTTGATGTGGCTGCAGTGTAGTGTTAAGAACACCAACTGATTTATTTCCCTTTCACACATCCTGTTCTACAATAAACCCATTTTACATGTAGCTTTAGGTGTTCCCCAGTTTCATTCTCTTTGCTGTATTTTGTGTGAAATAGGTAAATTAGGTAGGCAGCTCTGCCTTCCAGTTTGTATTTTTACAGTGTTATATTACCTATACCAAAGCAACTAAATCCACAAAATAATCCCTTTTATACACTCTGTTAACGATCTAAGTAGGACAGAAGGAAAGGTTAATTACTTATTCCTCTGAGATGCAGTTTGATGGAGGCTTGACAGGGTTATGGGACAATATAAGAAAAGACTGCTCAAGTAACAAGGTCTTGCAAACAGGTGTATTGTCACTATGGAAGAGTGTCACATGTGTTTGCCCAGTGCCAGACATGTGACATCTGGCAGCTCTCACCCTCAAGAAACTGTTCCAGCTGGAGACCAGGGCAACAGAGCAAGAGCCATTATAATACTACAGCAGAGGTGCAAAAGCAAGTCTCTGATTTTTATGTGACAATGATTTGGCAGTTCTGATACTGTAGGCATTTTAAGGGTTTACAACAGTGTTTGCATGATAGAATTATTTAAGTGGTTATCTCATTAGTCTTGTCAGTGAATCCTTTTATTCCCTATTATTTTTTCACTGCCTAGGATGTAACACACGGTGATGATGAAATACTCTCTAAATCAACAGCACATTTTACTATTCAATTTTTTAAACAGTTTATGGCAGTGTGATGGGAAGGGACACCTTCCACGAGACAAGGCTGCTCTAAGCCTCATCCGACATGACCTTCAACACTTCAAGACCAGGGCATCCCTGGCACTCTGCCAGTGTCTCACCCTACTCACAGGGAAGAATTTCTTTTTATTAAATATCAGCCTACCCAAGATGTTTTAACATCTACTTCCTTGTCCAGTGATGTACAAATTAAGGCACAGGGACAAGGTAATGCTGTCTGAGGACTCAGGCTCAAAAAGTGACACAGTGTGAACACTTCAAAGTATACCACCAGTGCAGACACTGAAAAATTTTCACAGCAGCCAGAGTTAACCAGTTTCCATAAAGTTTGAGATACGCAGCTTGATTTATTTTAAAAACTTTTCACTTATAAAAATAATATTTATGCTAGACTTACAGTACAAAAAAGACCAAACAATATCTATTTTATAAAATGGTTTAATGAATGCATGCATGTCTGATATAATGATCAATAAATTTACTGAATTCAAATGATGTACTGTTGTAAACATTTTACAAAAGCATTGTGATTTATCTGGATATACAGTTCTTGATGGAAGAACTATTCAGACTGAAGCAGTGACACATCAAAAAAAATAAAGCTGACAAGACCCATTCTGCATATTCTCTTTTAACATAATTCCAGCAAGAGAAACAGCATGGTATAAAAAGTGTACAGTAAAGGTTGTTCCTACCACAACATCAAATTCTGGAAACTTAAATACAAGTTAAAAGTGAATGAAACAGTCAAAAGTCAGAATTATTGTAACCAGTCAGAAGTTACAGTAAGAAATGTTATCCAGTTATAGGTGGTTGTCAGAACAACGCCTTTCATCTCATGTCAGTTGATAATTCTTTTCCAATCAGACAGCAAACACTTTGGCAATCAGAGATGCTGAAAATTTCAAAGTCCTAGACACAGTCACAGCATCTGCTCTGTAGAAAGTGAACTGTACACCAAGGCTCAGAGGTTGTGAAATTTCATTGTTTCCAAGTGGAAAAAAAAAAAGTGCAAATGTCCTGCACAGATAGCTTAAAAAAAGCTGCTGGTACAATCATTCACCAACAGGATCTTTGTTTTCCTTTTGCATAGTTCACACATCACTGAGAATGTGACAGAGTGTGCTATTTTTGGCAAGAGCAAGAAGAAAGTGATACTGGTCAGAGTTGCCATGTTGGGCATGCTGGATCCATGCAGAATTCAGGTAGAGAGCTGCTACCTGACGTTGTTGGACACTGAATACTGATTTTGTTTTTGTTGTAGCAGTTCAGTAATGGCCAAAAGCTTCTTAAGAACGTGCTGTGAAAGAGAGTGAGTCAGTGAAACTACATGTTAGCTACTGGAGAAAAGGCCTCTCTGAGCAGCATATTTTCAGCATCAGCCTAAGGAGACCTGCAACTCGGTAGTTTAAATACATTACTAAAAAGAGAAAACTACTGATTCCCTAGCCAGTAAGGGTAATCTTAAAAAAGTGTTAAGGACTTTGCCCCTCCCTCCCATGGATCTTCTTACTTCTTTGAGGTTAACAGGAAGGCAGAAGAAGCGTGCAGCTAAAACACTGTTAAGAGTTTGCCAGGAGAGTTTGCCAAGCATACAAGTGTACTGGCAAACTAGGAAGCAAAAGTGAGGTATTTAAAAAGCTAAAGAAAGCAAATTTGGTTCTCAACTGAAAAAAAATCCAGATCTGAAAACTAAGACCCAGAGAGAGTCTGTCAGAAGACAGTAATTTTGTGTGTTTAAGGCTTCCTCTAGAAACTTTAAGAAACCACCCAAACTTAGTTGGCTTTGTTGCATGAGGGAACAAAACTATGGATTAAGTATTTCCTTCACAGCTAATAACCTCCTAGTGAAATAGAGTATCAGTCATACTGCTACAGAAATACCACAAAAGAATCCCAGCATTAAGGAGTAACTCAGGACACAGCACTCTTACCTGTGATTTGTTTGTGTTAACTCACCTGCATCACCCCTCGCTCATTGCTTAGTGTTCGGAGCTCATCCGAGTGTGCTACACAGATCTCATGCAAGGCTGCCAGGTCACGGGAGAGGTCAGTTCGAGAGTGCTCTGCAGTGTCTGGAAGCTCAGGAACATTCTTCAACAAAGTAAAAGACAGCAGATTTAGGGTGCCAAGACCAACTTTGGTCTTTCCACCTAAACCTCCAGTCTATCTTTCTATTATGAGCTATCGGTTTATTTTCTCCTCTTCACAGGCATGTATTCTCATACTGCAATTTGTAGTGCTAGGAGGATTCTTACTACAGGATCTGATATTGCTCCACCTTGGAGCTGACGAGAAACCTGCAGCATATGGAGACTCAAATGCTCCAAATGAAGGGGAAATCCACCCATTGGGAGCTTTTTTAAATCTAAATGAGAGAAGAGCAACAAAATTCACCAAATCTGCTGTTACCTATCAAGTAACTCATTAAATGATGGTGAATCAATAATGCTGCAATTAAAACAGCAGAATAATCCAATAGGTATTTTCAAACCAACAGTTATCAGAGACCTCATATAAAATCTGTCATTTAAAGAAAACCCATGTATACATACGCAGAAGTTGCAATTTAATCAGGAAAGGATGACATCTGGAACCCATCCAAATGCCACTCGTGTTTAAATATTCTGAGATGTCTTCTAGTCACTTATAAAGGATTCATTCAGAATGCTTAGCACATTTTTTAATTTCGCTTTTGAAAATTAATTATGGCATTTAAAATACATATATGTAAAACGTGATGACTTAACTCCTGTTATAGCTATTATACACACAAAATAGTCACATTTTAAAAGGACTCAGTGACAGCAGTTCACTTTCAAACTACAATATGTAAAATGTACACAGTGAAGCTTTTGCTAGTGCTAACTGAAATTCAACCTAGTATTTTTTAAAGAAAAATTATTTTCAGTTTTTGGTCAAAACCACATGACAAGTTATATATAAAATCTTCTGGTTTAAAAATATGTTTGTGAAAGGTTTGTACTTTTGCCTAATATTTCTAATCTCATAGCTATAGAATCTATTACAGCTTCTCACATTTACACTAAATTAATTAAGTCTTAAATTAATTAGAGGCACTAAATTAATAAAGTCTTAAGAAGACACTTGATGGTTTTAATTCCATATGACCAGCAATTTTTGAGTAAGTATTAAAAAATGTACTCAGATAAAAGCATTCAGAATTATGTGGGAGCTGATGCATTGCTGATCTAGTTAATAAGAGGTGTAAAAAATTTTAATTTACAATTCTGCTATGTAACTTCAATTACTTTTTTAACCACTTACCCCAAGTTCGTCCAAGAACATGATCATGCGATGTTTGTTGCTCTTGATGAATGGATTTACCCCTTCCATATATGGCTCCTAGTAATTTTAAAAAGTATTAATTAACAAATCGCTGCCAAGATAATTGTCACATCTGAGGCAAACACAGTGCAGTCAGGCAAATGGCACTGCAAAACGAGTATGTAAATTGGAATAATACCCTTTTTTCAAGTGTATTTCTAATGACTGGTGTGCAGCCAGTCAAAAAAGTACAGAAATTGCTACTTTCTTGTATTCAAAAGACTGAGAACCTGTGATTCAAAATTTTTCTTACACATGCATACTGATACAAATTTGCATCAAGGCGAGTGTCCCTAAAATACCTGTTTGCAGTATGCAAATGCTCTCTGTTCATAGGTATCAGGAACACGTGCCTTCTTTCCTGTTTTGTCATTAACTTACATTCTAAGTTCTGTGTGTCTGAGAAACAACTTTCTCATACCAGACTGAAGTCATGTTAATTATGCTTTAGTCAACAGATTTATTTTTAGCAATGTTTCATCCTGGAAATTGAGACCAGTCACTGCTGGCATTCTCTTAGTGTTTTAATAGAAAATTTACTGAAAACTTGGGCTTATTAGTACAATAGGTACACTTGACTTACAGCTTTCATTATGTCTAGCAGTATAATTGTATAAACAGGAGAGCTTTGAAGGGCTCTACCACAGAAAACACCAATTTAACAAGTGGTAAATGCAGGGTCAAAGTGGAGGAAGAGTGTATCATTGGTTCTGCATAAGAAAATAGCAACACTTTTTTTTGCACGCATTGAACAGGAACATGTGAGAAGTGTACTGCAAACACAGTTCTAGGTTGTTCTCTGTATGTAAAACTGTATTCACCTTAGCTCCAAATTCAACCAGATTTGCTAAATTCTGCACAGACTTGGCAACCAGCGTCAGTGTTCTTGCAGCAGTGGGGGAAGGAGAATCTGGCAGGAAATCAAAGTAGAGAGTCACTTGCTATTACATTTAAAATTAACAGCAGTTGCATGAAAATAAATTCTTTTCACATTCATATTTTTATAGATTCGTTCTTAATATAAAACAACTGCATATGAAAGGTGTCACTTGGTAAAGTATAATATATTGCTTTTGTAATGTCCAAAAGCCATGTTAATCTGATCATCTTATTTTCTGTAATAATAGCACACAGAACAAGAAGGCAAAATAACTAAGTGTTATTAAGAGTTAGGTGAAATGATAACCATTTGCTCAGAACTTGAGAAGTTTTATTGGAAGGAGGATTACTTGTTAAAACATTTACCTTTGAAATTAAAAAAAAAGTAAGTTTACATTTTCATTTTCTGCTTATGCCCACATAAGTGGGCACTGTCAAGTTATACTTTTAAGTTACTGGCAGCAGGAAAAGAGAGTGAATGTTACATGCAACTGTGGCCTATATTTCTATGAAACTCTAGTCTGTAATCACTGTGACTATAAACACTTTACATTAACCATTTAAGTCAGTTAGAACTTCCTTTTTCCAACAAGTGATGTTACCCAGCAGTATCCCACAAAATTACTTTTCTCTCCAGTTAAAGTAAATAGCCTGGTTGAAAGCATTCCACTGACAGGTTATACGGTCTGTAAGTTTCCCTTAACAGTAGTTGAGAGTACTAGCTGGAGGTAACTAAGCAGGATTGTAATGGACAGGCTCAAAAGGCATTACTCAAATTTTTAAGTAGTTTACACCTGCAGTCACAGTGCAACCCAAGTCAGGATGTACCTAACTTGCAAACCACCCAAAGACAATATGATGCCAGAAAAATTATCACTTGTTCCAGCCGTGTTTCTCAAATGCCCTCTCCAAAGCATGTACAGAAATGATTACTGTGTGAAAGGAACTTCGTTTGACACAGTCCTTCTCATTTAGTACAGTGTTAAAGACTGATGATAGAAAACGTGCCACGTTGTCTTAAAAACTGTTTCTGAATAAAGAAAAAAAGATTTCTGAACCAGATTTTTTTATTATAACCTACATTTCCTAATTTTCTCCCTTTCTGAAGGCCATCCCTCTCTCATGTTTAAGATTCTACATCTAAGATAGCTGTATTTAATGAGTCAAAACACTACTCCAATGGCTGGAAGCTATCTAAGCAGGACATTCAAATTGTTCAAGAATCATTTTCTAAGTGCACAAATGTATTTCAAGCTCTGTAGACACATACCAACTTTATAAATCTTACATTTCAGAGATACCATTGCATTCAGCTATTAATTCTGGCATTGCACTGTACTGAAAGTGACATCTGAAGTTCCCATAATTACATTTTTCACACTGCTAAAATACTTTAAACAATTACAGATTTGACTCAATATTTTATTATTAAATATCACAGTGGATGGTTTTGGGACTTTAAATTACATTGAGGATATCCACAACCAGGCCTTTGAGGGTGAAAAGCATATACCCTAAGAAGTCAGCCAAATGATGTGGATAACTTGACTTGAAACACAGCATTTAAAAAAACTTTCTATTTTGCTATATTAGATACCACAGTGATTTCATCTCTCCTGCTGCATAAAGTATAGATTTGATCTGAGACACATAGTCACCTGAGATGATATTAAACATCCTTGGGTTCAGGATAGCAGGACAAATCAGTCGAAGAAAAACAAAGCCACTGAAATGAAATAAAATTGTATTTCATTCAAAACCTTTAGAAAATTCATGTAAAATTGTGTAGTCTTTGAGGAAGAAAGTTAATGTGGCATCTTGTTGAGACAAACACCAAGAAACTAGCCTGTGCTCTGTAAAAATATAAATTAAGATCATCATGCTACAATTCTATGAACTGCAATGAAATCTGAAAGAAGAGGAACAATGATTTCCCAATATAGGTGAACTGTTGAAATTGTGTAGGAAGAAATTAATTGCCAAGTAATAATGAAGCCAATCCCAAACCATGCTCACATCAAAAAGGAGCTGCCCTTGGTCTCAGACCTCCCAAAAACTCTCCACTGTCCGCTACTGCAAGTCATCCCATCCTACAGCCACCCACTTCCCCAAGCCATTGTAAGCTGGATCATCCACAGGAGTGGATGGGTAAAAAGATCTCTCTTGGCAGAACACACCTTTAGGCCAGCTTCAGCTGATCCACTATCCTGATGATATTAGACTTCAGTAGAAAAATAAGGGATCTACCACTTTCCACCATGGAATAATTGCTGCCATTTTAAAAGCTGTAAAAAAGAGTGCTTTGTTCTAACTGCAGAACTAGGAATTCATTCAACAGGAACCCAGAATAGGCTTCAGCAGCATGAGAAAAATCTATCTTCCTGTTAATACCAGAGGTTAACTCAGGTTAGCCTCAACTCCAGCTAACTGCTGTACAATGAAGTGAGATACAGACCAATTAAATAAATCCAAATTACTTGTAATTTTATCCTTGGACACCACCAGCAGGCTGGATTTCACCACAACAATACCAGAGCCTGACCCCTAATGAAAGGAGGAAGGGAACCTTGCCTGTTGTAAAGCACACAGTTAGAAATGTCTACATTTCTTTGAAGTGACAAACAGTAGTCAGGTTGATGCACCTTCTGTAAGTCCAAGGCACCTAGTATTGTTCTGATATAGATGTATCTTACCTCTCTAAGAGACACAAGTTATGGGCTGGTAAGATAACAGTTCTTGGCCAGAGGTTAAGCTAAAATACTTTCTGTGGTGAGAATTCAAAACTATGAGTCAGTAATTACTTTTGAAGTCATGGCACATACACCAATCACTCTTTTAAGAATGCCCAAATTTTACAGTCAACAAGGTACACATCTAGCAGAGATCCTGCTCTGATATTCCTTACATTTGTCAACCTGCCTAAATTAGGATTGAGCAAATATCTATATGGGAGTTTCAAATCAGAGACAAATGGTAGAATATTCTGACTGATATGATAGAGAAAATATCAAAAAACTGTCCATCTGGCTCTGAATATTCAATCATTCTTAAAACCAAAACAGCGCAATGAAAGGTAAAAGCATCACTGAAGGCTGTGGAACTGCATTTCAGAGAGAAATCTCTGGTACTCACTTGTAAAAATGGAACACCACACAAGCAAGTGATATAGTATTTTTAGCATCTAGTGGAGACCACTGGGAAAACTCTGAAAGTGAGCTGTGTGTCCACTAAGGAAAACCACATGGTCCTCTTTGGAGCTGGGGAGGAACAGCCAGAGATAAGGAATTCACTACTGACCTTTACACCCTTCCTGCAGCTTAGTCCCTCAGAGTAAAAGGAGCTCTCAGAGTAGGAGCAGTCTCTATTTGAAGGCAATGCCGCTTCACAGTATGAAATACATAAAGCTTCTGGTGTCGAAATGATAAATACAAGCCAAAGCCAAATGCTCTTAAAGATCCCTCCATGGGACATTAACCTCTGCTAACCATACAACTGCCTGACACCACAGAAAGAAAAGCTGTGGCTCTCATACCGTTAAAATCCCTGGCACGTTTAGAAAAAGTGTCAAGACCACAGCTTTATCAAAGGTTTTTGTTTGACCAGCTCTGGCAACAAACCAAGTTAGAGCTTTTGTATTGCGCTAGTTTAATAAGGTAGATTGGAGTTTTGGTAGCTGGTGTGAGTTCAGAAGAGCCACGTTCTGTAACCTCCAGCAGCATTTTCAGAGGAGCTCCAGAATATTTCAACATGATTGGGCTGTAGTACTATAAATTCGACGTTAAAACCATTAAGTAAAGCTATACTGACCTCTATACTACATCATTTTATTCTGGTAAAGTTCTAAGAACAAGACCAAGAATCCAGCAAGCTCAATCTTTAATTGGGACACTGTGCTTCATCATCATAAATATCTTAGACACTGCAGTAACCTGTGTAAGTTCATACAGTTTTGTCACTGAAAAAACATAGATAAGCACACTGAAGTATGTCTTCATTGAAAGAATTATTTCCAGAATAAGGTTAACAAGTAACTTACCTAACAACTCTGGTTCTCATGGTAGTATTAGCTGGCCATTTGTTTTGAACAGACTTCTGTAGGCACCCATAAATATACCTCAATGTCCTGCAGAAATAGTAGCTCATTACCCATTCCATTAAACTTACAGAATAAAAAAAGCTGGTCAGAAAGAACCTAGACCAACTTCCTACGGGATGCAGAACTATTATCAACTTTATATTAATAACGTAGATTATCTTTACATTATAAATTTAAATTATAAATTTAAATTATAAATTAAATCCTAGTTAAAGTTAACAAATTTATAAAAATTATATTTTAAAAGTTTATTTTAAAAAGTAAATTTATAAATGACAAGGGAAATCCATTCTGTGCAATTCTGTGATGTGCATTACATATTTTGTAAATGTTCCCTTAAGTAGTATTCCCTTTTTTGAAAAAAGACCATTTTGATGGTTCATTTTTCTTTTCGTTTCTCTCTTAACTAAACAAAAACTATTCTTTCCATCCTGATGCATAGTGAAAAAAGCTATAAAGTTAAGCACCACAGCAACAGTCCTCTCCCATTAAAAAAAGGACATTTGTGGTGTTTTTCAGAAAATGTTGATCACTGCATCATATACTTTAAAGGACTGCAATTTTCAATGCTAACCTTGCCAGCACTAACACAAAAGAAAATTCCATGCTATTCCACTTACTCAAAATTGAGGGTTTCATATACTTTTAAAGCTAATTAAATATGAAAGGAGACTCTGTACTATCCACTTTTTATTAGCTTATTCAAATCTGAGGTACGAAAACAAGTTACTTTATCAATTAAAAGAAGTGGGGGAAAAATGGTCTCTGCATTTCCCTAGCAGAGAGAAACAGGCATAACATGGTATCATTATTACTACCTACCTGTATTTTTAATATGCTGTTAATAATTCAATCTCTTTTTCAGAGGAGAAAGACTGACAAATACATGTCATTGTCTGCTAACTACTACTGTTTTCTACCTTTTTGTAAAAATATGAGATTAATTATTTTATTACTATTTTGTCCCTTATCTCTTGAGTGTAGTAGTTTCTCCTTTAAAAAAAAACCAAGTGTGCCAGCCAGAGGCTTTTGTAAAACACTAGTAATTCCCAGAAGTGTTATTTTCCCCCTGTTTTCCTCTGTGTCTATACAGCAGCACTAGGATAACTCAGTAAAAAAATAATTTTAAGGTGCAATGTAATTAATGGAAACGAGAATTTTCAAATATAAATCTGAACAGAAAAGTGCATACTTACGGGGGCAGTATTTCTGCAGCCATGAATATCTTCTCCACCAGTTCTGAAAGTATACTGAGTAGATGTGCCAAATTAGTGTTTACATCTTCATTTTTTTCTAACTTCGAGGGATTTAACTAAAATAGAAAAAGAATAGGTTTCTTCAACTACATATATATATATATCGTTTCTGAATATTACACGCTGAATACTATTTCAAAGCAAATTAAATATTCTGCTACTGTACAAGTCTCTTACAGAACTCAACATGTTTCAGTGGCTTGTCAGGAAATGTGAAGCAATAGTTTTAAGTTCTAATACACGTATCTGGCTTTCATCAGCTTGGATATTCACTACTTTTCATCTGCATGACTTTTTTGTTCTCTCAATCCAAATTTCTGATGATTCCCATCTTTTCCACAATGAAGTTGACATGACGCACAGGAGTTAGGAGGATCATTTTTAAAAGAGTTTCAGGATCAGTAACAACCATTGAATATCACGAATTTTACAATTAAAGCAGAAGTTCTGACCTTGACTTCTACAATATCTTGGGTTTAACAAGAGTTACCTAGATTAGGACATTCAGTAACAGCTACTGAATCCCTGCTAAATAATTAAAAGTAATTTTGATTTAAAAACTCAATAAGTTCTACTATGAGTAATGTTTGAAGCCAAAATCAAGGGGAAAAAATCTCTTAATCAAGGAAAAACATACCTTAATTAATTTAGTTCCTGTATTTCTGATGTAACCAAAGTTTAGTCTAAGAGATTATTAAATGTCTCTAAAATTAATATTTAATGTAAACACAACATTTAGCGACCAATTATTGTGTCAACAAACCAAAACGTTCAAAAACACAGTTTAAGTATCACCTCACAGGACTGCTTGCTCTCCATGATCTTCAATATGGAGTCTTTCAGCGCATGATGAACAAAACTTGTTGCTGTGGCTTTCATATACTGCTCCATAAGTGTGCTTGCTAAAGTGGTGGCACGGAACAAGGTAGTAGCTTCATCTGTAAAAAGAAATAGTAAAGAGAAAAACTGAGAAAAGGAGACATCAAAAAAAGAGAGAGGACATGGTTACTCTTTGACATAAGCTGCAACTAAAAGAGAATAAAAGGATAGCACCAGAACCCTTTCCTCCCCACCTACCCAGAATTCCAATAAGTTTTTGTGTGATTTAGTGCAGTACCTTCCATGCTTATCTCTCTGTCATTTAGTGTTCGTAACAACAAGGACTCAAGCTTTTCATGAAGAAAAATTTTCAGTAAAATGCCAGCCAACAGTGTTCTATCCTGTCCACAAACATGGGATAAGGCATAGACTACATGAAGTTCTTTCTGGAGTATAAGCTGAAAGAAAAACAATTTTAAAATATTCAGAAGGTTCTCCTTACATATAACAGCTTTGGAAAAATATGATACTATATATCTATGTATCTATGTATATAAAGCTGTCACTTAAAAAATATTATTTGATTGCGTCAACCAGTGTTACTGAGATCCCTCTCAACCAATAAAAAATTAGTTTTGACAGATAAACCATGGATGGTTAAACTTAAGTTCATACCTCTTTAAACTCACTGTACTCTTCTTCTGGCATGATCTTCTCCATGGAATATCGTGCTCGAACACGCAAAGATCCTGGCTCAATACCCTTTAATGGGACATGGGAACTGAGTTGAAACCACTCATCTGTTGCATGTCCTTTTTGTAATCGGCTTAATTGGCAACGCATAAACACTTAAAGAAAGAAAAGCCTTGTTCAGGTACATTATCTCCACCAACACAGTGCTACTACTGAATAAAAAAAATACTTTTATTTTCAGTACATCATCATATTTCAGGAAAAAATACCAGCAAGAGTAAACAAAAAGCTTTTCATCAATATATTAATGGATTCATTCTCTCTTCCATAGCTTAATAGGGTCCTGTAAACTGAAGAAGAAATATATGGCAATCTATAAAGAATGTATACATATAAATGCGAATATGCCACACAAATATTGACATGGCTTTCCTTGTAACACCCAAGTAAGGATATAAAACAGTGCTACCCTGAAAATCCAGGCAGCAGTCAGAAACTAAAAAACAGGTTAAATGTTTAGAGTTCACTACTTCCTTTCCAGCCTTGGGCTGACACCACCATCAGGGTCTGCTTCTATTTATTATTACAGCGTTCCTATGGTATTCCCAAACACTAACGAATGTAGTTTTACAGCAACTCCAGTCTATATAACAGTTTGTGTGTGTTAAAGTGTTAAAAAGTGTTTAACAGTGTTTAAAAAAGTGTTCCCAAGCACTTGCTGACTAGATAATGAAAATCAGCTCAAGAATAGCCAAATCATTAACTGGTGATGATGGTACACTGAAATTGTCAAGCATTACCTGGACTGCAGCTAGCTAGCCAGCTACAGCAGCTGGGAGGGAACACAGGCCCATCCAGAGCAGGAACATGTGATTCTGAGTGGAGGGGTTTTTTCCACAAAGAAAGGCCCAGGCACTTTCAGAGGCAACACTGTGCCTGTGAAACAGCCACTATGCTCCAAGAGGAGTCCACAATTAGTTCTACATTTAACCTATCAGTCTGCACCACTCAGTCAAACACACTCTCTTTCCATAACAAAGATATTTCCATTTACTTTCCTCACATGAAAAACAAAAAAGCCATAAAATCGAGAGCTTATTTTTTTTACATTTCTGCAAAGCCAATACACCAATCTGCCTTGCAGAAATTGTCAACAGTTCCAGCAGATTTCTCATTGCCCTATTGTTGCAATTCATAGCAGGATATAATTTGACACTAGAAAAGAAGAAGATTGTATTTATAATGCCTCATTCATATTATATGCTGCTTGCTTCATATCCTTTGGAGCTGATGAACTGATAGAAGTTAATACATTTACATCAGTCAAATAGCATGAAAAACAATCATCACCTGCTACGTATCACCAGTGTGGATGGACTGTCATTAGACTACACAATGAATTGACTTCCCTAGTATACTTTTTTCCCTGGCATCAAAGCTCATACTCCACAACTAAGCAATGTGCTTTTCTTCTTATTTACCTGGACATGTAAAGCACATGTACCCCAGTGAGAGGAATGGTGAATGAAATACAGGACCTAGGATTAAATTATGATTTACTTTTTCCCTGTGCTTATAGCAGCACTTCTTAGCTATAATAGTATGACTTTAATTGATTTCCTTATGATTTTTAAAAAATCATGCCAAATATCTGTACAAGGACTGCAGAGTAGTTTGTTCATTATATTAAATGACTATGAAGTAGTAAGACTTTTTCCTCTTTATGTTACATTGAATTGGTAGACTCCTTTCTGTAAGATGCTTCTACTCAATATGAACTGATTTGAAATTAATCATCGTAGTGCAAAACCAAATCAGAATCTCCACTCCAGTTCAATACATTGTGGTGCTGTCCTTCCAGACCTACTAATTCAATTGTCAGTAGTAGCAGACGGAAGTCTACTAATAAATTCTAGGACTTTGGGTATTTCATCTTATATACATATTTGAGTAAGTCCTTATGCAATTTACAGTTAGAGAAACAAAAAAAAAGTTAATAGAATTGATGCAATTGATGCTGAACTGTATCATTTAGTATCATTTCTGACCATGTGGAATACTTAAAAAAAACTCTAAAGTAACTATAGAACATTCTTAATAGGCAAACTTCAATGTAAAGACCTGAAAACCCAGGAAATGTTTTAAAATACTGAAAAGGTAGCCTTCATTCATGTATCATTTTGGTATTTAAGTTTTGTGTGTTACGATGGAAGAAACAAAGCAGTGAATCCAACAATTAAATTTTGGACCTTCAATCAGCATTACATTGAAGGAAAAGGAAGCAGAAAAGGTGGGTTAACCCAGTTAAAAACGGGCAAGATGAATAGCAGCAGCTGTACAGGACTGCCACTTCATACCATTCTACAGGTAATATCTGTGGCCGAAAAGGAAAGGAAAGCTGGTTAGTTAAGGAAAGGAACCAGTTATCTTGCTTTTGAAGAGTTACAGGTTTATTTTGGCAGTGCAGCACAACATATATCAGAGAAGATGGGGTTTAGCTTTTATCCCAGTGAACTCCTCATAATTCATAGGGCTAGGAATGTAAGCAGAGGCGTATGTTCATTCAAGTTGACTTAGTGTAATCTTTATCTCAAAATGAGAGTTATGCTGGATTATGCTTATGCTGTGGGAGTGTAGATAACTGCAGTAAAGAAATTCAGTCAATCCTGCCCCTGACCTAGAACAGGAAGCCTTCCATCACCTGAATGCACAGAACTAACAGCATCTCCTTAATCTGGACAGAGAGGAGAAGACTACAAAAATACTTTCAAAGAAACTACTGAAGTATCCCACTAAGAATTAGCCTTTTAACATTAACATTTTAACATTCTCTTCCTAACCAAGGCTTTGGTTTAGATAGGTAATCAGTTTTCCAGCTCAAATGAATTCAAGACCAAGGTCACAACTGCAATTACAGCCTTTTAGTCTGTCAGAGAGAATGTACCTATTCTTCCTGCTGTGCAGAAACTTCTCTAGTGAAAGGACGAGAAAGAGATCTGAAATTAAATCAGATTCTGCAAGACCATTCAAAATTAGACTGATAGTTTCGGTTCAGCCAGGCAGAAACACCAATTTCATGTAGTGGTTTTGGCTTGCCAATTTGAAATTTTGTCCGACATACAGGAAGCCTAGCTGCTCCTCTCAGAAAAAAACCCACTTCTTTGGGTTGTCTTAAATGCCAAACCAGCACAACCTACTTTCGCTAAGGTTGCCCTACAGATCTTCATAAACTCCAGAAAAAAAACCAAAAATCAATAAATTAGCACTGGCATAAGTTACAGGTCAGTAATACAATATAAGCAAACTGAAAACAATTGCAGTAGATTATATATATATGCTCTGACTGCCTTGGAACGGACCGTTCAGAACATAAGGGAAAAAAAAAATCTTGGAACAAATTTGAACAGAGCAGGAGAGCCATCCTGCCCTGCAAGCATCAAAGATAGGCACAAGGCTGAAGCTGCTCCAGAACAAGTATATTGGGAAACAAGATACCTTGAACAGGGGAAAAAAAAAACCAACCACAAAGCAAAATTAAAGTATTGTGTGGAAGAGACCTGACCTTATAAAATATTTTTTTTTCTACCTAACAGCTTCAAATCCACATTCTTCAAACTCTTTATTTTCTAGGAAGCTAACAGATTCTACCACCTTGCTGTTGATTTCCTGGAACAAAAAACCACATTAAAGAAGCACCTGTCTGGCTAACATGAGGAGAAGAAAATACAGATCCTTTCCCATTCAAAGTGATACTGAAGTATCTCCAGATTTAAGCCAAAGAACAGTAATAAGGGAAGAAGACAGATGAAGTAAAATGGAAAGAAAAAAAGGGAAATTTTCTTCAGAGATTGCCAAGATTATTTTTTTAAATAAAGAATTGCACCCTTCCCTATCTCACTGGAAGCAACCAAAAACCTGGAAAGAAATTCCATGTAATTAGACTCCATAAAACTTAACATTTTTTGAAGCAGACTAATGTTGAAAATTTCTCTTTGCTCTTGGATTTTGAAAAGCACAGTCATTGTCTAGCAATAGTTACCATAGTGCAGACCTATGTCAGACATACAGGACTGGAGTATAGTGCATTTTTATGACTAAAATCAGTCGAAGTTCTCAATATAAAAACATTAATGGAAAGCCAGTATCAGACGTCGAAAACACACATACGCAGTTTGGTGAACCTAAAAATTTACTTAATTCCCTGGTGACAATCCTTGACAAAAGCAATAACCACACAAAGTATTCACCACTGAAATGTATAAGCATGTTTTACAGAAAAATACTTACATATATCTGGATCTTTACTTTTCTTTGTTTTGTTACTAAGACTTATCTCAAATCTGTTAATATCAGATGAAAGATCACTAGGAGAAAAGACAGAGAGCCTCAATTAATACTATACATGGCAGGCATTTAAGCTTTTCCTAATTCCATTTCAATCCCGAGTTATCACTATCAGCCACTTATATTAGCAAACATAGGTGCCTACAGAAAATTCTGCCTATGCAGAATTTGTCTGAAAGGTTGTTTCTGTATAAACATATATACAGTATTTTTAAAAATACTGTGGAACAATAAACACGTGTTAAGAATCTTAAATCCAATACAAATTAAAAGTGAAATTCACTAATTCACAATAATTAAGACTTACTCAAAGACAAATTCTTCAGACCACACAGGGTTTTGTCCTTCCCTGATGTGTGTTTTTGCTACCTGGACACTGTTCAGGTAGATGTTACAATATGGATTTGTAAAATGCTTTACTGGGAGCGTATGGGCTTCTTCTACATGCAAAACGAGACTGCTGACCTGAAGAAAAAATTAACAATTAAATTTTTGTTGCTAAAATACAAAGCACATGAATGTATTATTTTTAATCCTCTATGCAGAGGCCTAATGTTAATATGCGAATACTGAATACAAAACTCCTTATTAGAGAAGCAAAGACCAAAGGTATTAGAACATTTTAAGAATCACAACGAACAAAGTAAGAGTAACTCAAATAATTACTGAAAACCCATGTTTTTAATGCATCTTGGGTTTTTATTTTAAACTTATTTTTGAGGTATTAGGATTTGCAAATAACTACTTTTCCAGACACAGAAGATTTTACTGAAATGGAAGACTGGCACTTTGAGTAAGATGAATAATTCCAAATACATGGTTTATTGTTTGGTGCTTTTGTAACTGATTATGTAAAATTTTCTTGTGCAATGCCTTACATTGTATTCTTTTATGTAGATAAGCACTATCTTTGCTTTTGAAAAAAAGAATTCCCTTATTGCTTTGCTTTTGCACCCTGAAGCTCCCAACTGCACCTGTCACTTTATCTGTAAATTCACCTAATTTAGTTCACTTAATCATAAGTATCCAAACTTCTTTAATATTCACAACCAAACAGTTGGGGTTTATTACTTTTTATTCTCTACTGCCTGTAACAAATAACTACATTCAGTGTTTCCAAGATTAAATCATATGAGGAATTCTTGAAGTATTTCCCAGTTATTCTCCAGTCATTACAGACGTAACTATTTAAGACTGACTGCCTTCTCTCTCTGAAGGAATTCTGGCACATATGGCACTTTCAAGAGGCCAAGAGAAACTAAGACACAAGCATGGCTCAGCATGTATTTATTACATAAAATGAGTATCATTAGTTAAATAATATGCATTTATATGCAAATGAAATGTAAAAAATGAGTATTTTATATATTTATCATATAAATTTTAATAATTTTTTTTGTTTTCGTGCTTTATGAATTTTTTAGTTTTCCCATGTGAGGCATATTCGAAAATCTGCTGACTTCTTTAGACTTTTATTCAGGATTTGCTACTGTTGAAAGGAAAATTCTGAGATTTATGAACATGATTTTGCACAGAGACAAAATACTCCTCTACATGCACCTCCAACCCCACAATATCAGCTTCACCTGACGCAGACGTTTATTTGATGTTCCTGGACTGGTTTTTCTTAAACTGCAGAACACCTGCAGAGCTTTCATCCAGTCCTAAGAGAGAAGGATGCAGAAAAATATAATGAAATCAAGTCAGACACAGATTCTTGGAGTACAAGAGACATATCTGCAAAATGTATCTGAATTTTCACTTTAGTTTGGCAAAACCTAAATTTTCTGTAATTCCACAGTACAAAAGTCTGAATATTAAAGCAAATTTATTATTAAAGCAAATTTATTTACTAAGCAAAACTTCATAAAGAATTTACAAATCTGAACCATTTTCTTTTAGAATTCCTTAGAATTAATTTAGAATTAGCTTCTTTTAGAAGCTAATGGCTGTACAGTTACTAATGGCTATACAATGTGACCTTTGCCAATTTTCCAGTGTAGTGATACTACAAGAAATTGCAAATTATATGTAAAACTTAGCAAAATTTGTTGGCTTCTGAAAAAATTGCATTTAACAGGCCAAACTGGTCTGATTATTCTCTCCAGTAGTCCCATATGGCAGTCATAACACTGTATACTTCAAACAAAAATTGAATAATTAATAGAGAAACACAGAGCATATATTCAACATGCTCCGGTTTTTCTTTGGAAGTGGAAGATACATTACAGTCTCATTCTCCAATTACTGTCTCCCAACCATTAAATCCTGTACGTTTCTTGCAAAGCACAAAATTTAGGTTTGGACCCACAGTCTTCTCTTCAGTCAGTATCTCAAAGATCTGCCATCTACTCTCAAAGAACAATTTAACAATGTCATTAAAACACCCACAACACTGATTCAATCATTCTTCACAACATCCTCCACATTTTAAAAATAAAGGAATAGGTACTGCGTCTATTCCCAGCTTTGTGAGTTAGGCTTCAGCTTTCAAATCCTTCCAAGGAAAAGCTTTCAGCTACACCCCACCAAGCTTCTATTTTTCTATGAAATGTTAGAAAGTAAAGAAAGCTGAGCTGAAACAACTGTGTTGTGTACAAACGCAGTGAACAGCTTGTTAAGCAGTTTCAATACCAAAAGCAAATTAAACCAAATGTTCAGGAAACAAAACAGAATATTCTATCTTCTACACATTCTTAATTATTTTACTTTTTAGAAAACAAAAATTTTACAGATATTACAAAAATTAATTAAGGAGCATGGAATTTATGTATTCTGAATTACGATACAGCATACTGCTTCTTAAAGACAGTATTATAATGACAGTATTATGACAGTTGTATGATAAATACCACTACATCATTCTTATGTCATCTCTGCAAACTTAGCAATTTGCATTAATTTAACAGGAAAATCTGGGTTTTCCTTGATATACAGCATACAAAAAAACTGTATTTATACAGACTTCATGGTCTGGTGAATACAGTCTGTTATAAGTGCTCTAAAAGGCTTTCATTCCATTCAAATAACATCAAATACATCACAGCTGTGAACTTGGAGAGCTTAAAACTTAAACAAGAACAGTGTGTCATTTTAGATACAATCTGGTCGTAAAATAATTTCTCAGAAGCAGGCTTGTATCTCACAATTCTTAATCAGTGAACCTAACTGTTAAAATAGCTAGTAATTAAAGACACCATATAAACCCAGTAAATCTTACACTGCGCACCATCAGGGCTGAAGACCATGCATGATTACCAGCTAATATACATAGCAAATAACTGGAAAAGGCAGTTCAATGACTGCCTACTCACTCTGGTCACTGGACACATATACATGCATCAGCATTTTATTTATTTCACTCTGAAGCAAAACTCTCACTTATTATGCTGTGTTTTATAACAGAGAAAAGACCTGGAGAGTAAATTTTGTCTTTTGAATTGGATTAAGTCAAAAAATATACATGTTCTCCAGAAACAGAAAACAGAAAATAACTCAAGTTCTGCACATGGGACCTGACTGGACTTTGTCAAAATTGAAACCCTGAAAAACAGGTAATACAGGTGCTGGATTTTCAGCACTAACCTTTCCCCTCAGGGATCTTCTACTAGTCAATTTTACACCTGCTATACAATCACTAAATATTTGTGAGACATTTGCTTCGTGTTTCAGAAGAGCAACATAATTGAACAGCACAACATAAAAAGTTACATTTTTTACACTTAGCAAATAAAAGATCTCACCTGTGCTTGTTCTGGAGTTTCACCTGCAAAGTAAAAGATGTAATGCTCTTCACTAAAGTGCTGAACTACTATCTGAAAACAGTTTGGCCTTAAAAATAAAAAAAAAAAAACAACAAAAATAAGTTCAGTTAATCTTCACTTGATCTGTGCCAAAGTTTACACTGAACTAACAGATTTCTGCTGTTTGTCTTTAAGGTACAGTGAATAATTGCATCAATATTTGTTCATCTACATGTTACCATCACACATGGAAAGAGGAAGAACTCCAACAAGATTTCTCAAATCTTCAAAAACTGCATTTTTTTTAATGTATTGTGTCATTTTAAGAAAACTAAACGGTACATGCAGCCTACTTCAGAATATCAACACATTTTTAGAATGGTGTGTATTGAACAAGCATGTATGCTGTCTTGCAGTCAAGGCAAAAAAACAGCCATCTGAAAAGACTTGTCAACAAGGATTATTCCTAGAGAGTTTAAAAGCAGCAGAGGTTCAGCATTACTTCACAACCAGTTAATCATACATTAAGGATTTTCCTTTCAGGAAATGGTATTAACCTAAGGAGTTCCCTACATGAATATGTCCCACAGATCTCATGACCAGTGAAATGTGTACTAGATCATACACGAAACACGAGTGAACGTGACACAAACCTCTAGACCTTAAATGCTGCAGAAGTACAGACTTCACTGTACTCCTGTGAAAAGAGCAGAGACAGGTTTTTATCAGCTACTTGAAGTGCAGGAGGAACTCTGTCTCAGCTGCAGTTACTAATAGCTTCCTAAGCTCCTGTAACCATGCAAGTTCTCCTACACACGTTTAAGTACCACCTAACACCTAACTATGCTCCAACCCACAATACAGGGTTTCTTAAAAGCTCTTTAAGAGAAAAGAAACAGAATAATTACTGATATACAATATATACCAAAGCTTTCCTGCCTAATTGTCCACTACAGAGAGAACATTTCAATAATTTTTAAAATAATCTTTATCTATATCTGTGCTCCTCATTTCAGTAGTTAGATGTTGGAGTTTTTCAAAATTATTATGAAGATTTTAAAAACCCACAAGCAAATAGAGGAAAGCATCAGTCTTTGCAGATCAAGAAATGCCACTAATTTTAATCATTTGTCTCTAAGTTTTTTCACAAAGAAGCTGACTATATATAATTCTTCAATAAATATTAAGAACCCTAGGAAAACCAGAATTTCTAACTTCTACTACTTATTACATAAGTAAATGTAGTTATTTCTTCTAAAAACTCTGTAATACAGGCCAGTGAAGTTGATTTTGTAACTACCAATGAAAAAATACATAAACTCTCTTCTTAATTTCTAGTGATATCTAGAAGACTTCTGATTCTCAGCTTTCTTGCTGATAATCATGTCCCTTGTGGTCAGCCTATTTTGAATATCAAAATATTACAGTAAATAAGATTTGATGTGTAAGTAACTCTGAGTATAGTAATTGTGCAAAAACAATCTCTGAGAATGTTTACTTATATGAACTAGTATACTGCAAAGTACTTGTTTTTAAATAGAAAAGCACCTACAAACTTCCAACCAAGTTACCTTTCAAATATCAAAATAACGTAGAACTTTAAAAATTTTAAAAAATTCTTTATCATATTAACTCTTGGTGCAATAGGATTAAAAAAAGCCAATGTCCTACCTGCCAAATAAACTGTCATGTACTCCATAGACAGAACACACGCTGAGGTCTATTAGTCCTTTGGGTTTTGTGGCTCGTTTTTCACTTTCGAAATAAATAAGCTGGGCATCATTTCCCTCTAATATAAAGTATAAGTTTTTCCATCTCTTTCCTTTACCTGTACAAGAATCAAGCAATCGTTACAATACTAAAACAACACGTAAATTTTGTAAATTAAGGAAACAGGAGAAGGCAGTAAAGTTTCTGTCCAATTCCAAAGAGAAGAACAATCTACAGATAATGCTTGAGTTTTAATATCAGTATACACATTCAGTTTTATACAACATGTGACTAAAACCAAATCCTCTTCATAAATGCAGGCAGAGTTGCAAAAGGCTCTTCAAACATTTTCAGTGCTTTCAACAGTATTATCCAAGTGCATACAAGCTGCCGCAACAGTGAGCTCCTCTCAGTGTTACACCTGTATCTACAGAGATTGCCAATAGTGACAGTGTGGACCCCATTCATTAGACCTTTTTAAATAACTGGACTCTTGACATTAAAATATTATCCCTAAACTCTGACCAATGTTTAATAGATTGCATTACAATACCTTAAAACATATAGCTGAAGAACAGAAATATAAGTATTTTATATTCAAATTTAAATCAGAATCAACCTACAAGCACAACCGTATGTAAGAATTTGGCTGGTTCCACTTGCTGCAGAGAAAGGTTCTTTGAATTACAATCGATTATGAGCATTCTCAAACAAATAAATGCTTAAATCAGAGTACTATTTAGAAAAAACTTTCAGCCTTTATTTTAAATTTTAATAGTCATAAATCCACTGGGTCCTCAATAAGCTATTAGCAACATTGTTATCAAAATACAAATGTAACACTCATTTATTATACTGTGACTCCTAGAGTGATTTTATTGTATTTATTCCATATACACACTATGTGCATCTCCTACAAGAGTACTCCAATTTGCCCCTTTTAGCTTAATTTTTCCAAGTCATTCTTATTTCATTCCTTACACTGTGACAGCTCTCTATACCTCTCAGAATAAGCCTTCTCAACAAATGAGATGCTTCCCTTGTTCTGTTCAGAAGGTATCATTTGGGGTGGTTTAGGGTTTTTTAATGTCTCTTTTATTAGGCTACATGTAAACTCTTACCTTTTTTCTTGCATTTGGTCACTATCCAGAATATCACCTGTAACTTATCCTTTTTATAATTTGCAAAAATTTTTATATTGATATCTTTTTTCTGTGTTCATGAATGCTGATTTTTGCAAAAAGTAGAAATACAACACTCTGCAAGGGACTAGGTTCCTCAAAACTTCAAAGACTTGTTCAATGGAAATTCTTCAGAGTAATACCAAAGATTACACTGAAATAAGTCAAGCTTTTAATGTGCTTATTTTATGTTATGCTGTGTCAGCATTAGAATCACAAAAAGTCACTATATCCTTTGTATGGCAGACTGTGCATTTTATATTTAAGACTGAAAACAAACAACCTGACTTGGAATAATCAAAATTAAACCAGCTGTTCTCTGCAGTGAATGTAGATTTACACTATTCTAGCTCGCTCAAACCTCTATCAATTAGAACTTAGTGAGTTCCATATTAAGCACAAACATTTAATGAAAATATATTTAATGATTTTGAAGGCTACCTTTGAAAAGGATGCCTGGGTTTTGTGCTGTGTTGATTTTTTCAGAACTGCCAACCAAAATTATCACACTGCATGGAATTTCATGCATTACATTTTTCTATTCATCTACTACTTAAGGAAAGAGATCTTTACTCCTTATACACTTTGTAGACCCTTTTGCCTACTTCAATTTCGTTCTTTCTAGTACCACTGAACTCACTAAATTCAGCTAGGAGGTGCTGATCTCTGCTCTCTGGTGACCAACATTAGGCAACGTGGAAATGGAAAGAAGTTGAATCAGGGAAAGCTCAGATTAGACCTTACGAAAAAGTTCTTCACTGAGGAAGTGGCTGGTCCTTGGAACAGGGTATGCAGGAAATGCTCACAGCCTGTCAGGGTTTAAGGAGCATCTAGATCATGCTCTTAGTCATGTCGTTTAGTTTTCGGTGGACCTTCAAGGAGCATGATCTTTATGACTCCCTTCCAATTTAAGATACTGTATGATTCTAGGATCCGTATCTGCTTTTTCTCTCCCTTTAAAAAACAACAGAGGCAAACGTAACTCACTTTTTTTCAGAAGATAACCTTTTTTAATAATATTTTTATAAAAAGCATCCTTTGTTTTCCGACGAATTGTATTGTAGATTTCTTTTCCATCCACTGTATCATTAAGGACTTGTTCTTGGTGCTAGAAAACATATCAGAAAAACATACTTTAAGCTCAGAAATTGCCATTAAAAAAATGCATCCTGTGAAGCTGAGATCAGGATCGTCTTACTGAATGGTACCAACTTACTACTGGTCTCTCTCGCATTTTACTAAAGCATTCATTTTTCATACAATACATTTGCTAGAAATGTACTATAACACTTTCCCTATGTCCAAAACTGAAAGAAAATACGAGTTTTCAATACAGACCAACTTTGATAAAATAAGTCTTTTTAATGTAAAAACAAAAAACGTGATCTTTCACTGTGATTTCACATGTGTTAAAATTTATGCCAGTCTTTGAAGGTTTATCTAGCTTCTGTCTTCTACCAAAGCTGACAGGTCTGAGTAATCATGGATAAACTCTGAAGCAACAAAAATGGTGCAGATCATAATTAAAATCATCTCAAAGTTGCACATTAGAACTCACATGTTGTAACTGAGCAGAACTCAACAGAAGAAAGCAGAAATGGGAAACAGAAATAAGATAAATTCACACAAAAATGGTAGTATCTAGAAATGCAAGTAATAAATATGATCAAAATTCAAGCCAGGTCTGACCTTACTAAGTAAGCTGATCAACAAAAGTTCTTTAGCCATGAAAAAAAAAACAATAAAAGCAAGACTATAAAGTAGTAAGGGCATCACTGAGTTAAAGAGACATATGAACTGGTTCTTACGTAATATTCTACTTTTCTTCCTGTGCATATATCTGCAAGAATTATAGTTTTGATCAAAACAAAAACAGAAAGATGAAGAATAATTTGGTAATAGTAACAGGAATTACAGGACCTACAATGGAAGCTATATCCATATGTTATGAAATTATAATGGGACATAACGTCATTAACGTAATTATCAGTAAAGATAATGTAACATAAATATACAAGGAGTAGTGCACAAAATGAGATCTAGTGACAAATTTAAAGTAAATATTATATTAGACACAGGAATTCCTTAAGATTGACCTTAAAATGATGCAAAACTTCTGAATTCTTTTTCCCACTCTAAAACACGGAGCATAGTGCTATGTGGAAGGGAGGTAACATAAAGCTGCATATTAACTGCACTTAAGTTTTTAAATAAAGTCACAAATGTATCTGGCTAGGTTAAAAGAATCTGAAGTACCCTCACATGGAAAATTAGTCAATGCAGAGTTTATTGCATATATGAAAAGCTAAAATGAAGACATACTGCCATGATTAAAGAGGAATAATGGAGCATGAAGAAAGCTACTAATGAAGTTTTCCAAGGAGCAGTCTCAGAATTCCTATCTGCTTTCTGACCCAATCACATTACTGAGCAAGTTTAAAAGCAGGAAACAATGGGGAAGCACCAATGACACAATACAATTAGCAGTATAGGAAAGACTGCAATAACCATGTATCCATCTCCTAGTGCAACACAGGAGTTACACCAATACTTAGAGAAAATGACACATGAACTCACTGGAGGACTGGGCTGTGATACTGTTGGCTATGCCAACAGAATGGTCTCACAATGATGAACTTAACTTCTGTCACTGCGGCTCCTAAGGTGCCGTTTTGGTTTTGTGACTGGAACGGTATTGGTAACACATCAGTGTTCTGTTGATTAATACCTGCACAGCCTCAAGACTTTCTCCATTTCCCACTCGGCCCCCTTCCTCAGTGTGGTGGCTTGGTGGACAAGATGCTGGGAGCAGAGACAGCCAGGACAGATGATAGGGAATATCCCTGTGATCAATTGCTGTCATGTAGCATCAAGAGCAGCAGTAAGTGTGTGGGCGGGCACAGGGAGGTCTCACAGAGCAGCTGGGCATCAGTCTAGTTGCGAGAGGTGCTGAGTGACTGCCTTTGCAGCACCCCTTCCTTTGCTTTTAAAACAGTATTCTCAACCCAGAAGGTTTTTTTTTGCTTTTGCCCCATTCCACAGGAATAGGGAGTGCGCAAACAAAGGTGTGGCTTCTTAGCAGCTCACCAGGGTCAACCTACCACAGATAATTACATGTATATTCATTAAGTGCTTTCCAGAAGGAAAGGGAATTATGCATAACATGGTACTACTCTAAATTGTTCTGGTACATGTTCAAGAAAGATGAACTCACACCAAAACTGGTAGCAGGAAGGCAACTATGTAAACACCACAAAGAGACAGGATCCGCTTCTGTGTGATTAGCTTGGTGAACAGAGGAAATGCTCTCATATTAATATGAAAGATCTCACAGAGGGGTATAAATTGACTGCAACTCTCTTTTAGGGAGGAGAGGAAGAGTAAATTTCTCATTTCCACTGAAACAGGAAAGCTTGGAACAGAAAAATTAAAAAATAGGTATGTAAACTTTCTAACTAGCTCTAAGCTCATGAAAAGGTAAAGTATGTGGTGTGCTTATTAGTGGTGATTTCTTAGAATCAACTTTTGCTATGGGGCAAGTGCACTTCAGAACAAATGCTGCAGCCCTGCAATCACCCCTGAAGCTTTTCAGTGTGTATAGGTTTCTTGTGACAGGATAAAAACCCCAGACACAGAAGAGAGAAGCTAAGACTGGTTCCCCTTAAAATGGGACTAAATCAAAGCATGAGCCCAGGAACAGAGCTAGGGACACAAAGCAGAGGTTGAACACCTCACAGCACAGACAGAACTTACCATACTTTCTGTTGACTACAAGCCAGTCTTCAGTATGTGTATGTATTTGAGGATAAAACAAAAGAAACAGATGAACTGAAAACACTGAAATTGTTGATGACTGACTACTGGTGATGATGCTGTTTAACTACCACTAGTATCTCTGCTGTATTTTAGTTCATAAATTGATTTGATAATGATTCAGTCTGTGACTTCAACATCAAAGGCTCAGAGATTAAATCCTACCTGCATTGGAACAGGATCTTTTAAGTAATATCCTTCAACAATCTGCTCTTTTCTGTAGTGCTCAATGATGTCAGCAATACTGTTCCAGTAAGAAAAAGAATATTGAAATGTTAAACAAATGAATTTTCCAGTGTTTGAGAATCTGTTTTTCCATAAAACCGCATTAAACTTTCCCTCAAGGTTTTAATAAAATAAAGTGTTAATCATCATAATCTTATTTACAAGAATGAATATTTACTAATATACTGAAGTCAAGAAAGTTCACAAAAACTGTATTCAGAATGTATAAATCCTAAATTCTGCAAAATATTTTAATAACTTGCTTAAAATGTTAAAAGAGGACACTGCATTTTCCACATTCAGGAATTACATGTGCATTACCACTTTCCAACCAGACTGAAAATTGCTATTTCATTGGCAATAATTTTCCCAGTATGTCCTACGGTAATTAGCTAAGTGGAATGGGGCATACTCTGAGTGAAGTGCAATCTCCTTCGAGCAGGACAGGAACAGAAAACAGAAAAGGTTTGTAGCAGAGCTTATACAGATTATGATTGGACATCACTGAGCTATCATATTAAATACTCATGTCAGTAACACTCCTATACAAGGAAGCATTCATTCTAGTCACCAGATTCAGACTGCAATTGCACTTGGAAGGCTCAGAAGAGAAGCACTGACAGATACAAGATGAAATTCAAGGCATTAAAAATTGCTCTAATTTATTCTTGCATTACTGAAATTTACGCAGTAATAAAGAACAGCACTACAATAGAACAACAACAGAAATTAATAATTTATATGTTAAATATCAATCTAGAAAAATAGCTAAGTAATTAAGTAGGTAAAATATACTCAGTGTGTCTTCTCAGTTCATGCATATTCAGCTGTGTGTGCACAGATACAAATAAGGCATGTGTGCAACACAGTAACAATAGCTGATACCTCGAGTCTCAAAAACTTCTAAAAAAAGCTATATGAAGGCATCTTGGTTGGCTTTTCTGTTTCATTCTGAAGCTATGAACTGGTGCAAACTTGATAAAATGACCTTCTCACAAATATTTTAATTTTTCAGGTATATGAAATATGATTAATGTTTCTTTCTGTTTTAATGAAATCGAGTAATTTCAACTTCTACTGAGATGCTGTCTGCATATGCTGTTTTCTACATAAGAATTTCGATTGTCACACTACAAAAAACTAATGATATCAGTCATGGCATTTCACGGGTTGAATAGCTACTACCAACATTTTTTAATCAATAAAAAAGCATTGTATGAATTTTCTCACTCATCAAATCAGTAACCTTCAGTGCACCATCCCCTTTCTTGATTAAAAATGCCATTAGGTGTTCCTCAAGATAAGAAGCAGGTGCTTGCAAAATTTCTGCAATTTTATAACGGGCTGAAGAATAAATTCAGTTGTATTTAAAAACTCCTCCTGTATTTACAGTAACATACAGACTAGGAAGTCAAGCCTTGATGGAGCACCTAAGGGCTGCATTCTTTACTATATGTTTCAACTTCCAGCAAATTTACCAATCTGATATACATAGTAAGCTGAACTGAATGTGAGCTTACGAGTGTAGTGATAATTCTCCCCAACATACAACAAAGATTTTCTTTCACACCGAGGAAGATTTCTCCAAACTACGTACCAAAATACTAAAAAAAAATTCTTAAAGCACTTTGTTCTAATTTATTGCTACTTAACCTTAAAATCTTGTTTTCTGTTCAGCTGCATAAAATCTTTCAGACAAACGTAATCTATACCTCAAGTGAATCCAACACTGAATTATAAAGTAATCCGAAGCAATAACAATGTATTTCTGAAACAATGAACTTCTGAAATTCTGAAACAATGTACTTCTGAAAGTATATTATTTAATGCTACAAACCCATTTGAGACTAATAAGAGTTCCTCTAACTTGATGATAATTTGACATCGCCAAGGGTGGGGGGCTCCTGGCTTATCATCCTCCTAATAAACCATGCAACTAGAAATCAATATTTACCTTCATGAAAGGTTGATCCTGCAGCTAGCCTAGTTTTCAGTGAGGATGGCTGGAGGCCAGACTGATTAAATGAAGAAGGTATTCAAGAGCCTGGGCATGAAATGGGCATAGGTTCATAAGGATTCTACTGCTTAGCCTCACAGCATCATGCAAGTGAAATCATATGAGAAAATCCACTGAACTTGAGGAGACCTTGACATTTTCTCAGACTGCTGAATCTTTATCCACTCAGAAGCTAAGCTGGAAGTGACAGAAATTCTCTATTGGGGTAAGAATGCCCTGGTTCTAGGTGAACAGAACTGGAAAAATGCTGATTGTTTTAAGGCAGGCAGTGACCTCTGTTTAAGGAGGAAAGTGAGTTTTCACTATTTAAAAGTCTTCCGGATACAATTCTAAAAAAACGCTATCAAAGATGGAGTTGTACTGATAGCTTTTCCTACAAAAGGGGAAGCACACCTCATTATTTCTTTCCCTTTGTACAAATTTCTGTATTTTTGCACCAATGGCAAAAGAAATGCATCTCAAGTTTGTTTACTCTAAATGAACTGATTGGTATTTCTGTTCCAAGTACCACGTACTTATTTCAATACAATTTAGTAACTTTTTCCAACAATGAAGGTGTTTTTCCCCTTTCTTGTAAATACCTACTTCTATTATTTGAAAACTCTATTGATTACCTCAGATGAAATTAGCGTTTTTATTTTCCCCTTTTCAAACATACAAAAATACATGGAGAAGCTTCCAGGCTGTTTCAAATAGAGTAATCTCTTAATTACAGATACACAGTTTATGGTTCCACATGATCCATTCAAACCACAATTTACAGAGTGAATCAACTGGTTGGCAGAAGCAGCACAAATACTTCAAGAGAAACAAATTACACTTACGCTACTTAAGCTTTAAGAATTTGCTCAGTTAGATGTAACTACTAAGGAAATTAGGGAAAATGTTTTGTATAAGGGAAATTACAGTCTTAAAATCATAGTAGTAAATAATTATCAGGAGCAAGTTATGCAAGCATAACATATGCACAGTTCCTTTTGCCATAAGAACTCACCTATTATAGTATCTGCCTCCCATCATAAATTGATTGTTTGATGTTGGACATATTTTAAAACGCTGAATATTTTCACTGGTCCGGAAATAAAGTGAATAATCACCAGGGGTATTATCTGAAGGCCTTACAAGAAAACTGCACACCTGACCAACTGAAAAGACATCATAATAGTGTTATTTTCTTAGTGATATATAAAGACTCTTACTAAATCTATTTCTACATAAACTAGGAAGAACTGCACACCTGAAGAAATACAAAGCCTATAAAGGTAAATTCCAGTAGTTATCTCAGACTAGAAGAACTAATACTAAACCACCAAGATTAACAAAAAATGTCTCAGCTGTAGCCTGCAACCTAGCCATATCTTTGCCACAACTCTTAAAACAGCATACAAAAAATTTTGGTAACATTTTCAAAATAACACAATCTGTATTCCAGTATTTAAAATAGGATATTAAACAATATGGGTCAGAAGTGCTGTTTCCATTTAAATAAGTATTTGCTTTATGAAAGTGAAATAATTGACTCCATGTATAATAATATAAAAATTAATTAAATAAAAACTTATTAAATTAACTTTACTTAAGAATATACTCAGCTCTGATAGCCATGAAAGTTTTCTTCCATTGTAGTGTTCTACTGAAGTAGCATCCAAAGGGGAATCTAACACACTCATATTTTCATACATATAAGGAAGTTTTTGCCACACTATTATTAACAGGATCACTTTGTGCCATTTCACTATCACTGTATTCTACATCAAAAATACACATACCTGTCATCAGCAAATTGTAAGCTTCTTGTTTGGAGATCTTCCCATGGAACCATCTTAACAAAGATGAAGAGAAAAATTAGAAAGCAAGACTAGCAGCTCTCTTTTTTGATTGTGGTGACATCCAAGGCTCTGGCACCTATGAATTAATCTTTATTTTAAAAGACCCAATATATACAGATGAGACAATCAATGTCTATGCTACTTAATGATTCTTTTACTAACAGCATGAAAAGACTAACACTAGTAGGTATATAAATTAATTACTTTCAATAAAAATATCCAACACTTGGAGCTGATGTTCAAATGCAATTGTGTTTAGAAATTGAGATGAATTGTCTGAAAAGTAGATAATTTGATAGGCATTATTTGAAGGCATACAGCAATGCACTAGAATCATGAAACCTAAAGCTCAAACAAGAAGTTAAACACATACAGAAAACCTCAAACTCAAATTTGCCAGAGCTGTGGAAATAAAATCTAGCTTTGTTAGATTAATGAATACAAACTGCTTTCATCTTACACCTTGTACTTTCCCAGAGTCTTGTGTCAGAGCAGTACCCCACAAAAGTTCACAGCCTCTGTCTAGTCTCCACCTGATACTTACCACTATTCAGAAAAGCTTGACATCCTACAACTTAGTAATTTGTATTTAAAGGAAAGCGAAAGATATGGTGCTTTTATCGATCAGAAAAGACCCCAATTTCTAACTTGCTTACTATCCTACCTTCAGATATTAAATTATGGATTCCTCTGAAAGGTAAACAACTGCTAAAAGACAGAATCAAAGCTTCATGCATCTCCTACAAGCTACTTTCCAAATACAAAATTTCCACATTTGAAGACATCCATATAGCCAAATTGATTAGCAGAACACAGTAAACCAAATAGACCACTGAAATGCCTCCTTCTGCAACCAGCCTCATGGACAGCAAGCACAAATATGACAAATGAAGACATCAGATTAAGTCATCAGGGCACTAGACATTTTTCACAACTATCTGCCACTCATCTTCACTTGTGGATGTCATCTATCAACAGACTGGCATATCAACACACTGTTGATTCCAAGTTGCATTCAATTTCTAAAAGTTTTTGAAGTATTTAAGCAAATAGAAGGAAACTTACAGTCATGTGACTTGCTCTTTAAACTCTGTTATAAGAATCACAGAATTGTAGGATCACAGAAGCCTTTGGGTTAGAAAACACCTTTAAGATTATCACATCCAATCAAAGCACTGCCAAATCCTCCACTAAACCATGTCCCTAGATGCCACATTTACACACCTTCTAAATGTCTTCAGAGATGGTAATTCTACCACTGCACTGGGCAGCCCGTTCCAGGGCTTGGTAACCCTTCCAGTGAAGGCATATTCCCTAACATCCAATCTTAATAATCTTAATATCTAATCTTCCCTGAGTGCAACCTGAGCAAGTTTCCTCTTGTCCTATCACTTTTACCTGGGAGAAGAGATCTCTTCTGGCTACAACCTCCTTTCAGGCATCTGTAGGGAGTGGCGAGATTCTCCCTGAGCCTCCTTTTCTCCAGGCTGAGACTCACCAGCTCCCTCAATCACTCCTTATCAGACTTGTACTCCAGACCCTTCCCCAGCTCCATTTCCCTTCCCTGGACTCACTGCAGCACCTCAAAGTCCTTCTTGCAGTGAGAGCCCAAAACTGAACCTAGAACTCAAGGTGTGGCCTCACCAGTCCTAAGTTCACGGGGACGTTCACTGCCCTAGTCTTGCTGGCCACACTATTACTGATGCAAGTCAGGACTTCTTCTTGGTCCCCTGGGCCCACACTGGCTCATATTCAGCCGACGTTGACCAGCACCTCAGGTCCTTTCTGCTGAGCAGCTTTCCAGCCACTGCCCCAGCCTGTAGCACTGCAGGTGTTGTGACCCAAGGACAGAAATCATCACCTGGCCTTGTGGGATCTCATACCACTGGCCTCACTGGCCCAGCCGCTCCAGAGTCCTGTGCAGAGCCCTCCTACCCTCCAGAAGATCAATGCCCCCACCCACGAGGCAATTAGAGATACTGTTCTAATAGTACTTTGGTACAGTATTTAGAGTTGTTATCTCCAAGACAACTGTGTTGAAGAAATACTCCTGTGGTGCATATTTTGGCTGAAAGTGATCATACATGTCTTCATCTAAGATTTCAGCACTGCAATACACATTAGTAACAGATATACCTATTACTGGATTTTTTTCATGTTAATTATCCCTGCATCTGCAGCAGCTAGTATATAAAGAAGTCTTGTGATTAAAAAATAAATCTCTTTGGTCACTTTCACAAAAACTTAGAAATCTCATAGTGGAAGTTTACAAATAGTTATGATTGCTTTTAAACAACAAAACAAAAATCCTTACATTTTGCCTTCATGAGGATCTTCTTCTCTTCCCTACGAGAAAATTAACATATCAAGTAAATGACAACAGCACAACTCAATTTCCAAAAAACAATGTTGTAAGTTAAGACCTTCTGTAGAAAAAAAAATGACATTTAGAAATCTGAGGCATGTTTTAACTAAAGGACTTACTGCAGATCTATGAAAAATTTTCCTCTTCATTCATTAAGTTAAAATTCAACAAAAATGTTATTTCTGATGATTACTTCAGTCATGATCCAAGTCCTTTAGAGGTGGTAACTTTTTAAAAAGTTTCAACCTTCTCAGTCTTCCTAAGGTTAAATTACCACTGACCTATCAGTTTACAGATTAACAGTCTAGTACTGCCACTTCAGTTTAGCTATTCACATCCTGACACCGGTAATCTATGAGAAGCTTCTCAAGTAACATTGCAATTAGCAAAACATATGTACTGTGTAAGAAGATACTACAAAAAATCTATGTTTTTTCCTTTTTTGCTTCTCACCAATAAATTTTTAACCCAAATGTCATCCCTGAATAAAGAGAAAGGCCTACCACAATGCAAAATTACATTCTGTTGGGTTAGTGAACATTTCATGGCAATTAAAAGAAAGAAATGCAATTTAATGATTCTTCACCAGGATAGAAGATTTTAGGGAAATGCCTAGTAAATTTACAGTACGATTCATTTGTACTTATCTTTGGACAATACATGAGTAAATATTCTTTGATAAAAAACTAGGCTTAAAGGTTTGTTTGAGTACTTTGGAAACTATTACATTAATTTACTAGGTTTAGAAAAGTACATAATTAGAAAACAGGCAATTCAATGTCACTAGTTCAATACTATTTTATCAAAAAATCCCATTTAAGAACTCTGAATACAAAAATTACTTACCACTTCTTCTACCAGGTCTTCCACAATAAGACCTTGTTCATCCGTCCGTAGGTTTGTAACCCACATCCAGCCATCTTCCAATTCGTTATGGACAATAAACATGTCTCCTTTAAGGAAACTGAAGACAGTAACAGCAAGATTTAAATCAGAGATACAATCATAATATAAAGTTTAAGGAACACAATGAATTCTTGAGTATAATTTCCATAAAATATTTGGGAAGACCTACTTGTAAAAAATGCGGGAATTGATATTCCAAGCACATGTGTATTTTTTTCCTCACAGTTAAGTGGCTACTATATACAAGTTTTCATACTTAATAATGTTTAGTATCTAATATATACTTCAGTGCTGTCAATTTCAAAGTATGCTAATGTATAAAACAAAAATAACACAACAACATTAAAATACAGTAATAGTTCTTTTATCAAGAGACATCAAACATGAAACAAAAGTAAAATAACCCTTAGTAGTCTGTAAGAAAATAATATTCCTTTCATTGAAAAATTACCTTGCATAATGTAAGTTGTGGAATACCTATTCATTATGTTCTCACATATGAAGACAAGTGATGCAAAGAGAATACAGAGCAGTTACCAGAGATGCCATGCAATTAGCTACAAGCATAAGAAGCATTAACCTTCAGAATCAGAGAACCACAGAATAAAACACGGAAAAGACCTCTGAGACTGAGTCCAACCTAGAACCAAATACCACGTCAACCAGACAAAAGCACTAAGTGCAACATCCAGTCTTTTCTTAAACACCTTCTGAGGACAGTGACTCCACCACCTAAACTGGGTAGCATTTCAATGTCTAATCACCCTTTCTGTGAAAAACTTTCCCCTAATGTCCAGCCTAGAGCTGCCCTGTAGACTAAAGGGGAATTTAAGATTTATGTCCTCTCATCCTGTCACTGGTTGCTTGGTAGAAGAGACTGAACCTTACTGGCTACATGCTTCTTCCTGGGAGTTGTAGAGAGCAATGAGATCGCCTTTGAGACTCCTTCTCTTCAGGCTGAGGCCCGGCAGCCATTCCTAATAGACTTGTACTCCAGACACTTTACCAGTTCTATTACCCTTCTCTGGACACACTCCAGGACCTCAATGTCATTCCTGAATTGAACGCCCCAGAAGTGGGCATAGCACTCAAGCTGTGGCCTCATCAGTGTTGAGCACAGGCAAATAATCGCTTTCTTAATCCTACTGGCTGCACCACTGCTGATCGAAGTCAGGATGCCATTGATTCTCCTGGGCACAGATGGCTCATCTTCAGCCAGCGGGTGACCAGCACTCCCGGTCCTTTCCCATTGGGCAGCTTTCTAGCCACTCTTCCTCTAGCCTACAGCTCTGCAGAGGGTTTTATTGTAGCCAAAGTGCAGGACCCAGCACCTGGTTCAAGGGAATTTTCATTTCTGGAAGACTAGTTAGTGTAAGTTACTCCTTAAATGTTAAGAACACAAACTCAGGTCACATGAAAACCTTTCACTGCAGCACAAAATTTTTGATCATGTTTCATGATGCATCAAGGTACAGGAAAACAATAAAGAGTTGAAACTCATTAACTACCATTTCAATTCAAAATTTAATAGCAAATGTCCATGGCATGGTTCTCACTTGAAGTAGGCTAACAGGGAAAAAAAAAAAGCAACAAACCACTATCAAAAACAAAGCATAAATTCAACTGTTATTCAGCTTTACCAGGTGACAGACAACAACCAAACCATCACTGTGTAATTACTGCATGGAAGATATGCTGCAATTAACTCAGTACTACTTCAAACTTCATAAATATTAATTATGATATTGAAATTCTGTATCAATATTCTCGGAAATACACAATTTCTTCAAGAGCATAATAATTCAATCTAGAACAAACTGAGAACTCCGGTCTCAGTTTTGCCATGAATAGAACTGTTTCAGCCATGCAGACCTCAAAACCCAAATACCAACTTTGCATTTCAGTTCTATCCTAAAAGAGAAAGAAAAGGTTTAATTGCCTACAATTTTTGTTATGATAGCAAACAATAACATGCTATTTCCTCTTAAACTGACAGGTGGAATAAGGTACGTAAAAGACTATTTTTTTTTGTTCTCACACACAGTAGGAACCTTAGTTGCAACGTTCCATTAGACAGCCCCTTCCCAGTCCTATCACCTTACTGACACAGATTATAACAAAAACAAATATCCTCATATCATCCTTTAAAGGATCAGACTGGACTGTGAGTCTTGGAATAAATTCCCATTCAAATGAGGATACAAAGCTCTGGTTTCTTTCTATACATTTTAAGATAATAATCCTAAACCTAAGAAAATTCCCAATTCAACTGGTGTATTACATCAGCTTATGACATCTCTATCATTAGAGAAAATAGAAATCACACAAATCACTTCCAAATCCTCTTATTTTTTCATCTGAAAAAAAATTATCTCCAGAAAGAAGTATCAATCCCAAGTAACCAGAAAATGGTCTTTTATTGAAAGATTCACTTCTTCCATTCTTAAATTTCAAGTAGTCAAGTCTCAACTTTCTCTTTCTAGTGATCTGAACTGTTTCCCTTAGCTACACATCTACTAATTCTACTAGTTCTGTGGCAGTTCAGAAAAAAGCCTAGCTCATTTCTTTCACACACTCAGATAAGGAATTTCCATATAGAATTATTTGATACATTTATCCTTTTGGCAAAAATCGAGGGCTTTAGAAATTTCAAAATTATAAGATTACTAATTTTAATTCTCTGTACCTAATGTACCTTCCTTTACAATTAATACAAACAAACACACTAAGAACAAAATGTCTTATTCTTATTTCCAACCAAAGAACAGAGAGAGAGAATCCTGTAATCAAACTGTGCCAAGTTTAAGATGCAACTGGAAAACATCTGCATTCAAACACCTATCTAAATTACTATTATTTATAAATACTCTCGAGAACTTCACAGCTACTACTGTTACTCAAACATACCTTATTTCATCAGTTTCTGGCACTCTGGTGTAAGGTAGAATTGCTCGAACTCTCCTTCTGTCTTCCACAGGCTACAGTTTAAAAGAAAGCAATGTTTTTTTCTCTATACTCTGTACTGTATATTCTATAGTGTAGAATCTTTCTCCCCAGCATTATGCTATTCAGACGCTAAGAACTGGTAACATCACTTATATCCATCTTGCCAGTCTTGTATTTCCAAAGCTCAAAACCACTGTCAGCTAGAAACATGTAATTCGTTGGCTAAGAGAGCACTTCTTTATATTTTTTTTTCACTTTGAATGGAGAGAATGTCCAGAATTTTAACACTCAGAAACATCTTTATTCAGGTTTTGGATTTTGTTACAGGGGATATTTTGCAGCTTTTTGTTTCATTTTAATTCCTTTTCTTAAGGATGCATGTGTGAAAGAAACCTTGGTTATCTCCAGGAACCATATTTGAAACCACTGTTAGATATGCAAAATGTCACAGAACAATGAAGGTTACATTACAACAGTGCTCTTTAGTAGCCAATAAATCAGTATGTTCTTGTTTTTTCTGTCTACTTAAAATGATGTTACCACATTGTACGATTACAGCAATATATCTACCTTCGTCATCATGTATTTTTATTAAATAGAAGATTTTTTAAAATTATTACTTTGTATCAGTAAAAAGGCACTTTTCTGCTCCTTATAATTCCACATATGCCAATACAAAACTACAGGAAGCTTTGTAAAATTTTTTTCTCAAAGAAAACTCTGAATAGTGATTAAAGTTACAAACATTTTAGTAAATTAGTCTTTAGAATTTTTTTTTACTTGCCTCTGGAGGTGCTACTGGAAATAAGAGCTTTTCCCCTTTCAGCAAGCAGGATACATGACTGTAATAACCAATCAGGTCTGAGAGTGAAGCAAAGCGACGCCCACCAATGTAATAGTCTCCACACATGGCAATAATCCTGTTCATAAAAAAAAAAAACAGAAGCTTGACATTAGAAAAGTTTTTGCTACGATTTTTTTTTAACAGAAGATTAGGACCACATTTAATTCTTAGAAACACTGTCTATATTCAGTAAAATGCAGTATTACAGGCTCTCTATGAATATTTCATCAAAAATATTCATATACATGATCCACCAGCTTTTTATCTGAAGAAAGTGCTGATCCAGAGAAAGACAGTACATTTGTCAGAATTAAATGAAATCAAAAAGAAAAAAAATATAAGCATGAACATCCTGGAAAACTGAAATAATGCACTAGTTACACAACAGCATTATTCTGTGTATCATGTACAACATACACCTTTTATAAGAGGCATAAGCTGAACAAAGTAGCAAGTACTTTAACAAAAAATTACTACACTTCTAGACTATAGGTTGCAGAAATAAAAACTATTAAAAAATTAGTCATTTTCTTACAGCTAGTTTAGCATCCAAATTAAAAGTTAAGAAACTACTTTGGAATAATCGAAGTATCCCCTTAAACCCAATTGAAAAATTTGGAATCTAACAGAAAAAAGCTCATATAACCATTTCATCAGTTTAACAAAACAAAGACTTCTAACAAAACTGTTCATTTTTAATTTAATGTTTGAGCATTTTCTTTAAGAAGAGATTCTTTAATGCATAACTTGATTTAAGCTGTTTCTTCTAAGAAGTAATGTACAATTCATATAAAGATGAATCTTCAGAGATTAAATCCAAGCTCATAAGCATATAGCACTGCAAGAGGAGTCAGAAAACTACGCTCAGGACAAATGCGGAAAGTTGTTTCCCAGCAAACCTTTTGATTACTAAAAATATAATCCATTGGTGTTTTTTGCTTTGGGATTTTTTTGTGGCTTTTTAAAAATTTGTTTGGGGTTTTTATGTTTGTTTTGGGGGAGTGTTTATCTGTTTTGGGTGGGGTCTTCTCCCCTCAAAATTAAGAAAGCAAGATGTGCTGATGTGCTGATACTTTAACTGTGCTAATTACAATGATTACTATGGAAGAGACACAACACAATCTCCTTGACTGACTAATGAAAACTGCACAGTGCTTTAAGTCTATTCAAACCACTTTAAGCAAGCTTCTCTATCCAGATATTTTTGGTCTCCACACACTTCCGTTCTTCACTCTATAATTTTAAGTAGCACACTTTAAACAATCAAACACAAGTAAAAAGCTGTACAATTAAAGCATAAAGAGTCAAAAATACTGCATTATAATACAATCACTGCTAACTTTATTGTGTTCTGAAACAAAAAGTAGACAGATCCGTATTCAAAATAAAATACTTAATTCTCACCTAAAATGATTGACATTTGTTTTACTAAGGAATGAAAGCACAAATGAACCTGGCCTTCGATCACTCTCTCGAATTAGGTAACTTCCAGGTTTTCCTGCTTGTCGAAGACGTTCTTCTGCAATTGTTCTGTCAAGTTTTCCATGATACCACCTGAAAAAAAGAGTAACAATGGGTGTCCTTAGAACTTAAGGGTCTCTTTTACTCTCACAAAATAGACCCATGAAAGGAAGAAAATCTTGCAGTCAAGTCCATACAATTCCAAAACTTTGTTTCAAAGCTATCACACTGTTACAAGTTCAACCTTCTAGTTGACTTATTTCCAGTAAATAATAATTTTTACACACCAGAGTTTCTCAGATAATATTATTTTCCCAAGGAACAACCCTAAGACTCAGAGGCTCTACACATATGTGTTGGTTTGAAAGCAAAACCAGCGCGAGACTCCAAGTCAGTAATACAATTTAATAGGAAAAAAAGAGAAAAAATAAAATACATGCAATAATACAAAAGAAAAACCACCGACAGAGTCAGAATACAACCTGATACCCTGTCAGTCAGGATGTTAGTAGCAGTCCAATTAAATGGTGGCTGCAGTCCTCCTGGATGACAGATGTACTTCAGTTGAAGTAGTGCTCCTGTAGGAGGGTACAGTTTTCCTCCGAAGGTCCAGCGAAGATGTGGAAAAGGTCCGACTTTCCTCTGGGATCTAGTGGAAAGGGCTGCTTTTCTGTTCCAAACCCCAGTTTTTATCTAGGTAGGAAAGGATTGGCTCCTCTCCCTGGCTGGAACATCTCCCAGTGGGATGATGTAATCTTATCAGTCATACAGTAGGACTTAATGGCCCATTAACAGAATATATTTTCTGGAGGAAGGATGGGTTGTGAAAAGATAACGATGATCATCCCCCTGATTTTATCAGATGGCACATCAGCAGAGGATATCTCCCACAGAGATAAGGATCACCACCCCTCCCACATTTCAACAGATGGTGACAGAATATACATTTTTGCATTGTACCCCAGGACAACATATCAGTTTTATCTCCTCTCTAATTTGTTTACTTTGAATAAACAGAAACTGAGGTGACTGACCTGACTCGAATGACTATTGTGTTTTAAGCCTACACAGGTGTCAGTCCAGGCTGAGTATTTCAAAAGCATAAACAGAAGTTAATTCTATCAGACCATTCTTCAGCTGACAGAAACGCTGCTACAGCAAAATCAGTAAAGAACTGGACAGCAGTCACCAGGCCACCATCCAGCCCCAAAACCACCTTTCCTAATCACAATGTGTACCCTATCAATGAAAAGCGAGTGCGGGTGCATGGCAAATCACAGACTACAAAATATGACAAAGGAAATCTTTAATCTACTGCTACCATTCAAGCATTCAATCACCTATCTCAGTTTATTTACACAGCCTTTGTCAGGGCACTTCTTCTACACCAAATAATCAAGTATAACTTTTTTTTCACCAAGAAAGAAGTGATGGAGAGCACTTTTCAAAGACAGACATTGCTCTCATTACCTTTACCCAAGCCACAGCATGTTCCAGAGCTATTTACTACAATAATTCATTAGCTCCTCCACCTAATTTTGCTTGATTAAACCTTTAATTTCTACACTCAGGAACCGTCGGCTTCAAAACAGCTGTTTCAGAAAATGTAAATCCTTCACCATTTCAGATCATACACCATTTAGTTCTAACAGTTCACAGACAGTTTTGCAAGATTCAAAAACACACAATTTAGAAAATATGTAAATCATCTCCTGAACAAAAATGTGCAAAAATATCAAGTATTTCACAGCATACAGTTTCAAAAAAAAAATTTTAAAAGCTGAGTTGTTGATAAAATCTGAACAAAAGCAATTATTTTCTACAAATAGAAACAAAAGCTTTGAGAGCTTTTATCAGAACGTCTGTCTTGGTTTGAAAGACAAGTATTTTGCTAAGGAAAGGTGAGAACCCCTTTCCTGAGATGCAGAGTGCAACCCCTCCCTTCTAATTATTACAGTTTCAAATCAGAGGCTGTCAGGCAGGAGATATGGGGATAGGAATAAAGTTCTTTACTGATATCTAACAAGGCAAAATAACAGAAACAACAACAGCCACAAAAATTTGAAAACAAAACAGAACAGTATAGCTCAGTTCCAGTCCCTTCTGGCCAAGGACCTCTCTCCCTGTGCTCAGTTACCAGTGCTGCGGGCAGGGCAGGTCCCGCGCAGCTGAAGGGGCTGGGTGATGGCGGCAGTGGCCCAGGTGCGAGAGGGATGGGGGAGCGATTCCCTTCTCACGGTGTTGGTCCTGGTGCTCGGCAGAGTGTCCGGAGGTAGTAGGATGAAGTGGGAAAGCAACAGAGCGATGTTCAACGGCAGGGAGCGTGGATCTCAGCGCTGGGATGGCAGGGGAGATGCTAGATCGGAGCACGGGCCATCTGCCTACCACTCCGCCAGTGAAGCGAGAGCCAGAGCCCGCTCCAGACCCCTCTCCCACTTTTTCCTTTGCTGGTCTCCCCCCATCGCCCCACCCCCCTGTGAGAGAAGACCATCGCTACTAAGGTGTGGCCACACAATACTTAGCATAACAATGGGAGAAATTCCACAGAAAGGAAAGGGAACAATTCAACCCCCAACAAAAACCTTGACAAACTAAACCAAAAAACACCATTTCACCACTAATAGCAGCACAAGCATAGGTATTGTCTAACCTGGGAAAACTGGGTGCTTGCTAGTATTGCTCCCCTTTGCTTCTCTTCCTGACAATGATCAAAACAAGTCAAACCCGCAGAAGCACTGTTGTGTCTGTACATCGTTTAAAACTTGAAACTGCTGCACACCTAGGTATATTAGCAAGAGCCTGTGTCATTCCATTCCAGAGCAAAGCAGCCTCATGAACAGAAACCTGTCATTCAAAGACTGTACACAAAGAAGTGGATCACACCTTCCCTAACAGGAGGGTCTTTTAGGAAATGAAGCCATATTAACACTGTTGATTTTGAAGTAACTAGTGTGATAAATGTGATTCGTGCTAATTAAATTGTAACTATATTAGCAAAATTATATTCAGATCAATAAAAGACAATTGTTACAGAGTGAGGGGGGAGATGGGTGAGACAGGACAAAGGATAGTTCCAGATGTTGGGAGTCAAAGAAGAATGTTGGAAGAGAATAGTAAAAAGACGTAGGTCTGACAAGCAGCATCTAGAAATAGAAAGGTTCGACCTTGAAATGGGCCAAAATGGGATGATTCCAAGCATGGGGACTCAATTAAAGTCTTGTTATGGAAAACATCTGCTCAGTTACATAGGGCACATGTGCTACCTGCAGGTCACACAGCAGACACTGACAAAGACGATGAGCATTCACCAGAAATAAGACCCTCAAAAGGATCAGAGACCCCCTAACCCATTAGTAGAGCATGCACCATACAACATAGTGATGTAAATTTTAGGAATAGAAACTCAAAGGAGGTTTCTAAAAACTTCTGTAGCATATAGTATATAAGTGGGATTGTTAGCCTTGAATCTTTGGTACATGAAGTAGGGCAAGTCCCTCCTCATACCCCCGGTCAGAAGGGTGGGGGGCCCTCCCCGACTGGTTTTGCTTATGCTTTATATGAACCTCAATTATGCTAAATTACTTACTGCCAAATTTTACTTATCCTAAAATATATGTATTCAATACTTTGATTGCATTCATCTCCAATACTTTAATTGTCATCTCCAATACTTTAAATGTATCCATTTATAATTGTTACTATTAAAAATTTGCTGCTACCTTTAATCTTGTTGCTTGATAAACTGGAAAAATAGAACGTCATTCATAACACTAGGATGAAATATTCTGTGTGTCAGCGTACACAGCACAGCTGAAATTTGAGTGAGCTTGTTCCCAACACATCTCAACTGGACATTGCTTTCCTGGACAGATCGACTTTCATGAAGTATAAAACTCCCCAGAGATTCAAGAAACTTCCCTGATTACATAACCAACATTCCATTTCATGAAATCTATTTGACACTAATAATAGGTTCACTGATCTTTTATTTGTTCTTATTTATCACCCACTTGAGGAAAATAATCTTAATTCTATTGAGAGACATATTGTATTACAATGCCAAACTTAAAGGCACAATTTTAAAATGGAGAAGTGGCAGTCTCAATAAGAATGCAAATTACCAATGATAAATTTACAGAGTAAGCAGAAAAGCATATGGAAATAAAAGTTCTGTAAGGGACCAGGATTTCTAGCAACAACAGCACAAATTTAGGTGCTTCAATTTACAGTCCAGAAGCTTCAAACAAAAAAGACTCCCTCCTTGCGGCTGACAGCAATATATATAGGTATATCTCACATATTGGAGATCACAGTCTCTTAACCCTGAACAGGCTATATATTTTTTGTCCCACTCAACACTTTCATATCAAGTGTACCAGAAGACATTTATTACCTGGTAAAGCTTTTAAGGAAAGGTTTGTTTTCTAAATTAAAAAATATTAGGTTAATTTTTGAGTGCAATTAAATTCAGTGTTACTAAGCCCATACATAAAATGTTAACATCTGATGGCAAAAGCCACTGTATTTTATAGCTCACTCTGCGTTAGTGTAATATACCAAATTACTCTATACTGCTAGCCACAGAAATAAATATTGACAATAAATTTAATACAAACTACAGTAAAGCAGTCAATATTGAGCAATGATAAGAGAAAACAGCTCAAGTGATATCCTCAGGAGAGCTCTGTACCTTTCACACATCTTTTAAAAGACAGGATACACACTTATGTAGAAACTTGTTGTGATAGGTTGACGAAGACACTATGTATCATTAGAGTATGCAAAATGGTTGTCCAGAAATCAATGCATTTTTTCAGAGAGCAGAGTTTCATCAATAGACAAAAAGTTTATTCAAGAAATATACAACCTAGGAGCACTGAAAGACATCACTGTCAGAAGTGCATGTCTTATAATCCATACTGCTGTCACCAGTATTCAGTATTATAGAAAGATACTCTGCAACTGCTCATCATTGTCTTCAAGGACTCTAATACCAAACACTAAAGACTGTTTTACAAAACTGCAGCATTCAATCTCATTTAAGGATATCAACTAATCTAACAAGCACTAATGAACGATTTTCAGATCTCATG